CTGTCCTCCCAGCTGGACGCTGCTCCCTGTGTGTGTGGACCACACTCTGTCCTCCCAGCTGAACGCTGCTTCCCTGTGTGTGTGGACACACGCTGTCCTCCCAGCTGGACGCTGCTTCCTGTGTGTGTGGTACCATACTCTGTCCTCCCACTGGACGCTGCTCTCCTGTGTGTGTGTGACCACACTCTGTCCTCCCAGCTGGACGCTGCTCCCTGTGTGTGTGGACCACACTCTGTCCTCCCAGCTGAACGCTGCTCCCTGGTGTTGTGGACCACACTCTGTCCTCCCAGCTGGACGCTGCTCCCTGTGTGTGTGACCCACACTCTGTCCTCCCAGCTGAACGCTGCTCCCTGTGTGTGTGGACCACACTCTGTCCTCTCAGCTGGACGCTGCTCCCTGTGTGTGTGGACCACACTCTGTCCTCCCAGCTGGACGCTGCTCCCTGTGTGTGTGGACCACACTCTGTCCTCCCAGCTGGACGCTGCTCCCTGTGTGTGTGGACCACACTCTGTCCTCCCAGCTGAACGCTGCTCCCTGTGTGTGTGACCCACACTCTGTCCTCCCAGCTGGATGCTGCTCCCTGTAGGTGTGGACCACACTCTGTCCTCCCAGCTGGACGCTGCTCCCTGTGTGTGTGACCCACACTCTGTCCTCCCAGCTGGACGCTGCTCCCTGTGTGTGTGACCCACACTCTGTCCTCCCAGCTGGATGCTGCTCCCTGTAGGTGTGGACCACACTCTGTCCTCCCAGCTGGGTGCTGCTCCCTGCACGTGTGACCCACACTCTGTCCTCCCAGCTGGACACTGCTCCCTGTGTGTGTGACCCACACTCTGTCCTCCCAGCTGAACGCTGCTCCCTGTGTGTGTGGACCACACTCTGTCCTCCCAGCTGAACGCTGCTCCCTGTAGGTGTGGACCACACTCTGTCCTCCCAGCTGGATGCTGCTCCCTGTAGGTGTGGACCACACTCTGTCCTCCCAGCTGGGTGCTGCTCCCTGCACGTGTGACCCACACTCTGTCCTCCCAGCTGGACACTGCTCCCTGTGTGTGTGACCCACACTCTGTCCTCCCAGCTGAACGCTGCTCCCTGTGTGTGTGGACCACACTCTGTCCTCCCAGCTGGATGCTGCTCCCTGTAGGTGTGGACCACACTCTGTCCTCCCAGCTGGGTGCTGCTCCCTGCACGTGTGACCCACACTCTGTCCTCCCAGCTGGACACTGCTCCCTGTGTGTGTGACCCACACTCTGTCCTCCCAGCTGAACGCTGCTCCCTGTATGTGTGGACCACACTCTGTCCTCCCAGCTGGACACTGCTCCCTGCACGTGTGACCACACTCTGTCCTCCCAGCTGGATGCTGCTCCCTGTAGGTGTGGACCACACTCTGTCCTCCCAGCTGGATGCTGCTCCCTGCACGTGTGACCCACACTCTGTCCTCCCAGCTGAACGCTGCTCCCTGTGTGTGTGGACCACACTCTGTCCTCCCAGCTGAACGCTGCTCCCTGTGTGTGTGGACCACACTCTGTCCTCCCAGCTGGATGCTGCTCCCTGTAGGTGTGGACCACACTCTGTCCTCCCAGCTGGACGCTGCTCCCTGTGTGTGTGGACCACACTCTGTCCTCCCAGCTGAACGCTGCTCCCTGTGTGTGTGGACCACACTCTGTCCTCCCAGCTGGATGCTGCTCCCTGTAGGTGTGGACCACACTCTGTCCTCCCAGCTGAACGCTGCTCCCTGTGTGTGTGGACCACACTCTGTCCTCCCAGCTGGATGCTGCTCCCTGTAGGTGTGGACCACACTCTGTCCTCCCAGCTGAACGCTGCTCCCTGTGTGTGTGGACCACACTCTGTCCTCCCAGCTGGGTGCTGCTCCCTGCACGTGTGACCCACACTCTGTCCTCCCAGCTGGACACTGCTCCCTGTGTGTGTGACCCACACTCTGTCCTCCCAGATGGACACTGCTCCCTGTGTGTGTGGACCACACTCTGTCCTCCCAGCTGAACGCTGCTCCCTGTGTGTGTGGACCACACTCTGTCCTCCCAGCTGGACACTGCTCCCTGCACGTGTGACCACACTCTGTCCTCCCAGCTGAACGCTGCTCCCTGTAGGTGTGGACCACACTCTGTCCTCCCAGCTGGACGCTGCTCCCTGTAGGTGTGGACCACACTCTGTCTACCCAGCTGGACGCTGCTCCCTGTATGTGTGGACCACACTCTGTCCTCCCAGCTGGACGCTGCTCCCTGTGTGTGTGGACCACACTCTGTCCTCCCAGCTGGATGCTGCTCCCGTATATGAGGTGGACCACACTCTGGTCCTCCCAGCTGGAACTGCTTCCCTGTGGGTGTAGGACCACACTCTGTCCTCCAGCTGGACGCTGCATCCCTGTAGTGTGGACCACACTCTGTCCTTCCCAGCTGGATGCTGCTCCCTGTATGTGGGACCACACTCCTGTCCCTCCCAGCTGGACGCTGCTCCCTGTGTGTGTGGACCACACTCGTCCTCCCAGCTGGACGCTGCTCCCTGTAGGTGTGGACCACCTCTGTCCTCCCAGTGGGATGCTGCTCCCTGTGTGTGGTGGCCCACACTCTGTCCTCCCAGCTGGATGCTGCTCCCTGTATGTGTGGACCACACTCTGTCCTCCCAGCTGGACGCTGCTCCCTGTGTGTGTGGCCCACACTCTGTCCTCCCAGCTGGATGCTGCTCCCTGTATGTGTGGACCACACTCTGTCCTCCCAGCTGGACGCTGCTCCCTGTGTGTGTGGACCACACTCTGTCCTCCCAGCTGGACGCTGCTCCCTGTGTGTGTGGCCCACACTCTGTCCTCCCAGCTGGGTGCTGCTCCCTGTGTGTGTGGCCCACACTCTGTCCTCCCAGCTGGATGCTGCTCCCTGTGTGTGTGGCCCACACTCTGTCCTCCCAGCTGGACGCTGCTCCCTGTGTGTGTGGCCCACACTCTGTCCTCCCAGCTGGATGCTGCTCCCTGTGTGTGTGGCCCACACTCTGTCCTCCCAGCTGGACGCTGCTCCCTGTGTGTGTGGCCCACACTCTGTCCTCCCAGCTGGATGCTGCTCCCTGTATGTGTGGACCACACTCTGTCCTCCCAGCTGGACGCTGCTCCCTGTGTGTGTGACCCACACTCTGTCCTCCCAGCTGGATGCTGCTCCCTGTATGTGTGGACCACACTCTGTCCTCCCAGCTGGACGCTGCTCCCTGTAGGTGTGGCCCACACTCTGTCCTCCCAGCTGGGTGCTGCTCCCTGCATGTGTGGACACACTCGTGTCCTCACCAGCTGGTGCTGCTCCCTGTGTGTGTGGCCCACACTCTGTCCTCCCAGCTGGATGCTGCTCCCTGTATGTGTGGACCACACTCTGTCCTCCCAGCTGGACGCTGCTCCCTGTAGGTGTGGCCCACACTCTGTCCTCCCAGCTGGGTGCTGCTCCCTGCATGTGTGGACCACACTCTGTCCTCCCAGCTGGGTGCTGCTCCCTGTGTGTGTGGCCCACACTCTGTCCTCCCAGCTGGGTGCTGCTCCCTGTGTGTGTGGACCACACTCTGTCCTCCCAGCTGGGTGCTGCTCCCTGCATGTGTGGCCCACACTCTGTCCTCCCAGCTGGGTGCTGCTCCCTGTGTGTGTGGACCACACTCTGTCCTCCCAGCTGGGTGCTGCTCCCTGTGTGTGTGGACCACACTCTGTCCTCCCAGCTGGATGCTGCTCCCTGTATGTGTGGACCACACTCTGTCTACCCAGCTGGACGCTGCTCCCTGTATGTGTGGACCACACTCTGTCTACCCAGCTGGACGCTGCTCCCTGTATGTGTGGACCACACTCTGTCCTCCCAGCTGGACACTGCTCCCTGCACGTGTGACCACACTCTGTCCTCCCAGCTGGACGCTGCTCCCTGCATGTGTGACCACATCTGTCCTCCCAGCTGGACACTGCTCCCTGCACGTGTGACCACACTCTGTCCTCCTAGCTGGACGCTGCTCCCTGTAGGTGTGGACCACACTCTGTCTACCCAGCTGGACGCTGCTCCCTGTATGTGTGGACCACACTCTGTCCTCCTAGCTGGACGCTGCTCCCTGTATGTGTGGACCACACTCTGTCCACCCAGCTGGACGCTGCTCCCTGTGTGTGTGGACCACACTCTGTCCTCCCAGCTGGATGCTGCTCCCTGTATGTGTGGACCACACTCTGTCCACCCAGCTGGACGCTGCTCCCTGTAGGTGTGGACCACACTCTGTCCTCCCAGCTGGACGCTGCTCCCTGTATGTGTGGACCACACTCTGTCCTCCCAGCTGGACGCTGCTCCCTGCATGTGTGACCACATCTGTCCTCCCAGCTGGACACTGCTCCCTGCACGTGTGACCACACTCTGTCCTCCTAGCTTGACGCTGCTCCCTGTAGGTGTGGACCACACTCTGTCTACCCAGCTGGACGCTGCTCCCTGCATGTGTGACCACATCTGTCCACCCAACATCTGCCGACGGGCGTGGGCTGGTCCCCTCCTCAGATCTATGTCCCTCCCAGCTCACGGTTACTTGTGCTGCATGTCTGGAGGTGGGGTGGCCGGCACGTGGCAGGAGGAGCACACCTACGCTGTGGGAAGCTTCCAGTTTCCTTTCCAGGGGGCTGTGTGGGTTTCCCTTGTTTCCCAGCCTAGAGCTGGGACCTGTCTGCAGCTGCGCTCTCTGCACAGCTCCGGGGTGCAGCCAGCGCCACGGAGGGGCAGATGCTCACCTGCAGGGAGTCTGTGGGACCCTGGCCTCCCTCCCACTCCTGTGTGACTGAGCTGCCAGGACCAGGTGCCCATCTGAGCACTCTGCTCGGGGACCTCAGCCCTTGCAGCGGCCAGGACGACAGCTGTGCCCATGCGTCTTCACCAGACGGCAGACCCGGTGTGCCCACCCGTCTCCTGCTGCACTCTGTCAGAAGGCCAAGTGTGGGGGCTGGGAGCGGCTCGGACACGGGCCTCCATGACCTGTGCTCTGCCTGCGGTTTCCTCCAGGACTTGGGGCCCTGGCAGAGTGACGTCTCAGCCCTGGGTGTCCTCTTCAGCTGAGCCATGGCTACCCCGGACGTCAGCGTGCACATGGAGGAGGTGGTGGTGGTGACGACGCCTGACACCGCAGTCGACGGCAGCGGCGTGGAGGAAGTCAAGACGGTGCTGGTGACGACCAACTTGGCTGCTCATGGGTGAGGACGGGCCTGTGCCCTGGGGGCAGGGGATCGTCAGGCCTCTGGCTTAGTGCGAGGCCTCTGGGAGTTTCCTTTCGGCACAGTCCTCCTAAACCGGACTTGGGTCCATGCCAGTGCAGGTCAGGTGGGGATGTTGTCTCAGCCCGGGCAGCTCATGCTCCGTCCTTGCCTGACTCCCACCGCGCCATGTCATGGGCTCATCCCCCAAGCACCTGCAGCTTCTCTTGATAGAGGGACTGGGACACTGGGAACTGTGGTTTCCGACTGAGGTTGAAGAGCGGTGTCCCCTGACGGTCCTCACAACAACTGGCACTCCCCTCCCCATCTTACCGCAGACGTCCCCATAGAACCGGCTGGCAGGCCAGCTGGCACGCGTGGACCGAGGGCGTCCTCTCGTGTTCCCACGGGCCTGCCTGCGCCCCGCTCGCGCCTTCGAGGGGTTGGCCTGGGCGGCCCTGTGGGCTGTCTGTGCTCTGTCTTGAGTGTGGCCCTTTCAGACTGACCTCAGCATGTCACTGACCACAAGGGTGAGGTGTGGCCTTCTCACGGTCTACCAGGGTGTTTGGGGAAGGTTCTAGGCCCGAGCCCGGCTCGGTTCCTGTGGCTCACACAGGGCTCTGGTTGTCCCCACCTTGTGGGGTGCGCTGAAGCTGCTGCGCAGTGTGGCCGGGTCTCCCGGCCCTCAGGCCCCTCTGCCCCGCGCGGTGGAGTGGGCTCTGCTGGGCTCCAGCCTCACTGGCTGCGTGTGTGGCTGAGCCTGTGGTTTTCCTCACCTGAGTTCTCAGGGCAACTTGTGCGCCTCTGTGGGCCGTTTCCACAGCGTCTCCCCACTTGCTCTGCAGTGACTTTCCACACCCTGCGAAGAGGTGGCGCCAGGCCCCTCCCTTGGATCGGGACAGCCCTCGATGAGTGCGGTGGGCAGAAGCGGCATGAGGAAGGCTGCCTGCCTCCGCCTGGTGCGCTGGGCGCTGGGAGGAGCCTTGACACAGCCACTGTCTTGGGGTGCTCTGGTCCTCTGGACCAGCCTTTGTGTCACCCCACCCGGGACCTGGCCTGATGAGGATGTCCAGCCCCACATGGCGACTTCCCGGCTCTGGCCCTGGCACTGTGGTCCCCGCTGTGGGGTGACTCAGGGAGCCTTTTCATGAGCACCGCTAGGTCTGTCTGGGGTCAGAGTGCCCAGAGGACATGTGTCCTGGTCAGTTCAGCTGCCATAGCAAAGTGCCGGGAGGGCCGTTCACCCTGGAGAAGCTCCTGTCTCACTGCCTGGGGCCCGAAGTGCAGGGTCAAGGTCTGCAGGGTCGGCACTGGGGAGGCTCCCCTGGCTCCCGGGGCCTCCCTTGGTGGGGGCAGCTCTGTCTTCCTCTGGTGTGAACACCATGGTCCTCTTGGATTGGGGCCCGTCCTTATCACCTCATTTGACCTTGATTTCCTGCCAAAGACCAAATTTCCAGATACAGTTTTGCTGGGACTAGGGCTTCAGCATGTGAATTTGGGGACACAGTTCAGTCCACAGCAACGTGCTCCTTCCCTCTCCAGAGGCACAGGCCTGCTGTCGGCGCTGGGAGTTGGCTGGGGCAGGAGGGCCTCCCAGTCCAGGGTGCTTGGACTCCCTCGGTGCCTGGCCCAGCTGGGCCCGGGGCCTGGGGCTGGGCTGGGGCAGTGTCGTGTGTGGGCAGAGTGAGTCAGGCTACTGCTCACACCCAGCTCCAGCCCAGTCTTCTTCCGAGTCCTTTCCTCCCACTTCCAGAGGTGAGCACCCCTGTCTCTGGGTTTGGGTTGGTATTCATGTCGTTCCATGTTTTAAAAACATTTTTTTTTCTTTATTGAGTTTAGAGAGAGAGGAAAGGAGAGGGAGAGATAGAAACATTGATGAGAGAACATCAACTGGCTGCCTCCTGCACGCCCCCCACTGGGGATCAGGCCCACAACCTGGGCTTGTGCCCTGACGGGGAATTGAACTGGAGACCCCTTGGTGCAGGGTTGATGCTTAACCACTGAGCCACACTGGCTGGGCTCATTCCATGTTTAATTTGCCATTTTACTGGGAAGTTTACAGTAGATTTTTCTAAATTAAAAATAAGAATTTGTTGCTCAGTGGTGTGGCTCAGTGGATAGAGCGTGTCCCATGGACTGAGAGGTCCCGGTGTGATTCCTGGTCAGGGCACATGCCCGGTTGTGGGCTCAATCCCCAGTAGGGGGTGTGCAGGGGGCAGCCAATCAATGGTTCTCTCTCACATCAATGTTTTTCTCTCTTCCTTCCTCTCTCTCTATAAAATCAATTGGAAAAAAAAAAAGAATTTGTTATCACAGAACACAAAGGGTAGAAAATTAGAAAATTCTGATGAGCAAATGAAAGTGACTGTATCCCCACTACTCAGAATCCTGCAGTGGATGCCTTAGATGGGAGCCTGCAGGTGTTGTTGGTCTGTGATCCTGTCATGAAACTGTGCACAGAGGGACGAGCCACGCTGGCGTCCGCTGGAACTCATGCCCCCCCCCCCCCCCCCGGCACACGGACGAGGTCCGTTGGACTGTCTATGTTTTTCTGGTGTGGCTTTGTGCGGGTGCAGGATCTGCATCTCGGCTCCCTGTGGGCCCCACTCTGCTGCAAGGGGCCGTTCCCTGGGGATTTGTAGTAGCCCTGTGGTCAGTCATGGCCTGAAAACCTGAAGCTCGTCCAGCCACATCCTGATTTGGGCTTTATCCTGAGGCCATTTCTTGCTTTGAAAATCTCTTGCTGGGCGGGAAGTGGGAGACATAAAACCACGTGACCTCCACTCTGCGTCAGCTCTGCACCCACAGGGCAAACCGCTCCCTCTCGCACCAGCGTCTTCACACCAGCGTCTTCACACCTTCCTCACGGTCCTTGCAGTGACGCTACACTGTGGGTCCTCTGCTTCCGCACAGGCCCTGTGACCCCGCTGCCCGGCCCCTGCCCGCCTGCCCTGTCGCTCTGCCTTCCCCAGGAGGTGGTGGCAGCACTGACTTGTGGACAGTTTCTGTCTGTGAACCTCTGCATCACCACCACAAAGCTTAGTGCATTGAAGCAGCATGTGCCTGTCACTTCCTGGGTGGTCTGCGTGCACTCCCTAGAGTGTCTGGGTGCTGATGAGGAGGGTACAGGTGCTTTGCGAGGGGCTCTCACCCTCGGGGACACTTGAGAGAGGTTCCAGCAGCAGGTGAGGTGCTGCAGGACCTCGTGGGGTCACATTACACACACACACACACACATACACACACCGTGCACACATGCGCGCACACGCACACACATGTGCGTGCACATGCGCACACAGCGCACAGGCACACACACATGCGCACACACGTGCATGCACACAGCGCACAGGCACACACGTACACACACGTGCACGCATGTGCACAGGCACACACACATATGTGCACACGCACGCACACGTGTCAAGGCCAGGAGGGCACTGAGGCGAGGCCACCTCTTCAGCCACTCACCCTGAGGGAGAAGACCCCAGGAGGCAGCTGAGGGACTGGAGATATCTCTTCCTCTCTGAAATAGTCCGCGCTCTCCAGTGGGGAGCTGAGACTCATTGCTGCCACGTGTTTCAGAAGTGTTGGGGTGGAAGTGAACGACCACTCTGTGGGCATGGGCTTCTTTTCGGGCTGGGTATTTGGGGAGAACCTGGGAGTGTCCCTCACTTGTGATGGCCCACCGGAAATGCCTCCACCCACCCTTCACCGCGGTGACGCGAGGGTGAGAGGAAAGGCGTGTTCGGGGATGTTCGCTTCAGTGAAGTGGACGTTCAGTGCCCCGGGGGTTCACCCGGATTGTGTGCGAGACCATGGTGGGGAGGGGGCTCTGCCCTGTGCCGCCTCCTGGACCACCGTGGTCCTGGTGTCTCCCGCAGGTGCCGAGACCTGCTCAGTGCCTGCTGGGCTCCCCTGAGGTGCTGCTTCCTGTCCCTACTCCTGACTCACTTCCTCCTGGGATTGTCCTGGGGAAAGGAGCCCATTTTCCTGTTCTGTCCACATCTCTGCCTTCGGAGCTCCGGCCTGAAGGGCAGCTACCTCTGAACCCGTGCCCTCGCTGGGTGCGGCTGTCTCCCCGAGCTCACCCGGGAGGCACTCGCAGTGGGTCCCGAGCTCAGGTCCTAGTGTGCACTTCAGTCATCTCTGACCTGGGGGGCGAGAGAAGGCCTTGGGTGTGTGGAGAAGGGGGTGCCAGGCCCTGCAGATCCCCCCAGCTCATGGCCAGTTTGGACCTGCAGGGAGGGAGCAGGTGGGACCCCAAGTCGGGGGTGGTTGGAGGGACACTAGGCAGGATGAAGGGAGGGCACAGACTGGTGCAGGTGTGACCCTGAAGAGGGTGGTGAGGGGTGGGACGGGCAGGTGGGTAGAACCCCAAAGCCAGTGAACCCAGAGATTTGGGGTTCCCCGAGGATTCCTTGTAGGGATTCCCTGAGTGCTGCCTGTGGTTCCACAGCCTGCAGTTCTCCTGAGCCTCCCCTCCTGACCCCTCCTGACCCCCCACCGGCCCTCTGAGCCTTTGCATCTGCTGCCTCCTCCTGTTCCCCGAGCGGTGCTGCCCTGATCGCCCTCAGGACCCTCCCCAGGGCCCTTGGCACAGCCCTGAGTCCCTTAGCCGCGCACTCAGACCTGTTTCCAAGGTGGCTTCCAAGCCTCCCTCCTGGGGCCTGGTGCTGTCTGCTGCTCTGCTGCTGGCCCTCGGGCTGAGAGGCTCTCCGCTGCCCACACCACTTCGCCCTCCTGGGGGCCCTGTGCAGTCCAGGTGCCGCCGTGCCCACAGGTCCGGCCAGACACTCAGTGGAGCACAGTGATGGTCTCTGCGGACCTGACCCTTCTTCTGAAATTTTATCTTTCTGATAGTTTCTGTAACCTGTGAAATCACTATAATAGGAATAAAGGCGTGAGAAGTGGGGGCCTAGAATTCCTACTGGAGTGCAGGTGGCCTCCACACACGCCTGCCCGCGCCACGTGCAGCGCTGTCCGGGTACTGAGCAGAGCGGCCATTCGGAGGGACACCTGCTGGGCATCAGCGCAGGTCCCCGGCCTGCGTGGCCACTGGCCTCCGGGGCTGAACTGGAAAGGCCGCAGAAGTGACCGTGGTGGCGCTGTTGTCGGGCTGACGTCTCCCTCCCTTGTCCAGGGGCGACCTGAGCGAGGACAACATGGAGACTGAGAACGCGGCGGCGGCCGCTGCAGCTGCCTTCACCGCGTCCTCGCAGCTCAAGGAGGCCGTGCTAGGTAGGTGGCTCTGGGGCGTTCCCCAGGTGGGCTTCCGAGCGAGACGAACCCCGGGGCACAGTGGAGGCCAGGCTTCAGGCCCTCCGGGTTGGCCTGCGGTGTCCCCAGCTTTGGTTGTGTGGGGCCCCGCGCTGCAGCCGTGTTCCCTGTAACTATTGTGAGTGGAAACCCGTCATCATACCGGACATTCAAGGCCTTTGAACTTGGAACATTACGAGCAGGTTTCTGTGGAATCACCCCAAGTGGACTTGAATTCCATGTCCTCAGGCGGTTCTTCGGGTGGGAGCAGTTTGAAGTGCTTTTGCTCGTGCTGCTGCGGGCGGATTGGCTGGAACGGTGACTCGGGACTGAGGGGCCCTGCTCCCCACCCGGCCCGGCCCCTGCTGCTTTCTGGTGCTGGGCTGGTAGCTGTTGTGCTTTGGAGAGGCTGTGGCTGACTTTCTGTCTTCCCCTTCCCCTGTCCTGTGCCTTGTGAGAAGTGAAGATGACGGAAGAGGGGGAGAGCCTGGAGGCTGAGATCGTGTACCCCATCACCTGCGGGGACAGCAGGGCCAGCCTGATCTGGAGGAAGTTCGTGTGCCCTGGCATCAACGTCAAGTGTGTGCAGGTGAGGGTCCCATGCGGCCAAGCTGCAGGCCTGTGTGCCTGTTGCAAGGGTGGGGTCCTCCCAGGACAACTGCCGAGAGGCCAACAGTGAGCACCCTGCCCCAAGGGTGTGGCCTTGCACTGGCAGGTCGCAGGAGTCCGAGGGCTTGTGCAGCAGAGGAGGACTGCCTTCAAGGTCCTGTGGGACTCGCTGGGCACGAGCGAGAACAGGGAGAGCTGCCCTGCGGCGGGGGCAGAGGCAAAGCAGTTACCCAGAGGCCAGCGCAGGAATGGAGGGGGAAAGGCAGACCAGAGGTCTCGTGGGTGTCTCAGCTCTGCACGGACAGAGGACAGCGGGTCTGAGCACTGTCACGGTGGAGGGAGCAGTCTGTAGTCCAGGAGACTTGAGTCCCAGGCTGTGTAAATGAAGCTCCGAGTGCCGGCTCAGGGCCTTCCGCTGCTGCCGCGGGAGAGCGCACGTCGGCGCGATTCAGGGCGGTCTGGGTCACGGCTCCAGTGAGAGTCTGAGAGCCATGGGCTGCTGAATACTCCGGGCGTTTACGTCGAACAGTGAGCAGGAAAGCACCCGTGTAGAAAGCTGGGGGTGCTGCGGGGCGGCAGAACTCGGTGTCAGCCTGGTGCCGGGACACTGCCATCGATGGGCAGCGGTCGCAGAGGAAGAGCAGGACCTGCACTGGGAAGCTGGCTTGGGCAGGAATTGCGACTGCTCATGAGAAAACACGGGACGAGCACTCACTGAGGGACGGGCGACAACAGAATCGACCCACGTGCTGCCAAGACGACGAGGCCGGGACGCCGGTGCTGCTCTCGTTCAGGGGACAACTGACAGCCGGCAGCACAGTCTGGGCCGGTCCTGCCCAGAGAGGAGGTGGCTCTGCTGGCCGCCGTGGGGCCCTGTGAACCCAGTGTCGCCCGGGGGTAGGCCATGCACCCGTGGCAGTTCCTGAGCACTGTGGCTCGTGAGAGCCTTGTTCCAGGAAGCAGGTGTGAAACACGTCCTCTCTGGAAACCGACCTTGGGCCCAACGGGTGTGAGGAGACCAGGCTTCTGCTGGGCTCGGCGGCAGATGAGAGGGAAGGTCCTGCGGGTGTTTCTGGTCAGAAACACAGCAGCAGCCCCCTGGTGTGAACAGAACACCGAGTAAACGGAGCTCTATGTCCACGTAAGAAAGATGAATAAAAAAAAGATCATTCTTTTCCAACTGCTGATTCCAGCTCAGGGTCGTGGGGCAGGGATCAGACAGGAGCTGCAGGGGGAGGGGGCACGAGGAGTAAAGGAGTGGGCGGGGCGGTAGGTCTCAGTGACGGGCGCTGCGCCGTCGATAACGTGTCTTAGGAGATTCTTCTTTTTTTTATCCTCACCTGAGGACATCCTTCCACTTTTTGTTCACATACAGTGGGAGGGAGAGAGAGGGGGGGAGAGAGAGAGAGAAACATCGATGTGAAAGGGACACATCGAGTGGTTGGCACCCGCACGACCCAACCAGGGCCGGGGACAAACTGCAACCGAGGTACATGCCCTTAGCGGGAACCGAACCCAGGTCTCTCTGGACCACAGGCCGACGCTCTAACTGCTGAGCCAAACCAGCCAGGGCTGTCTTAGGAGATTCTAACGGATCAGCTGCGTGCCGCCTGGCGGTGAGTTGGCAGGGGTTTGAGTGGGACCATGTAGCTCTGGACTCCGCCTCCCTGGGCCGTGATGGCCCCCGACAGCTGCGTGTGGGCTCTGCTGTCTCCCTGGGCCCTGAGAAAAGGTACCTGCTTAGGGACGTGGGACCTTTACCTCCCTCAGGCGGAATCGCAGGTTGGCCTCATTCGCCTCGACCTCCCACGTCTGATAGAGACGGAAGGTGCTCTAAAGCACCGGTGGTGGCTGGGTAACCTCGGCTCGACCTGATGTAGACAGCAGGGGCCCCCAGGGAAGCTACCCTGGGAAGAGGAGGTCCTGGGGGCCTCCTGCACCCTGGCCTAGGTCCAGTGGGGTGTCCAGGCCACAGTTGGAACTTTCTTTTCTGCCTCTGCTGAGACCCACTGATTCACCCATCCCCAGCCTGCCTGCTTTCTAAGTAAATGCAGGTTTATTCTGATTCTTTGGTCCCAGTGAGGGCTCATTTAACAAGACTGAATGGGTATTCCACCTTCTGGGCATCTGCATTCTAGCCAGGGAGGCCGCAGGCCCAGACCTGTGAACAGGGAGGACCACCCCTGACGTGGACACCTGTGCATCTGTGAGGGGCAGTGTTAGAGCTGGACGGGCGAGCACGGACGTCCAGCTCCCCACGCGCCGTACCCTGTTATTCTAATGCAGCACTGTAAGCTTCTCATGGAGTACTTTACAACAAGACGTGCGGGCCCCGTCCGGGCGAGAGCATGCCCTTCTGAGCAGTGTGCCCTCGGCTCGCCCCACCCCGGCACGCAGCAGGGCCACCTGCTTCACTGAGCTGTTCCTCCCCTCGTCGAGGTTGCTGCTGGCTGAATCCTGTGTCCCACTGAGAGTGGGCCTGCAGCTCTGTGCCCGGTGCTGCCTCCAGCCTGACCCTTCCTCTGGCTGTGCTGTGCTCCAGAAGGGTCAGGCTGGAGTGGCGGGTGGTGGGAGGTGCCATCCTGACTGCTCTGCTGTGTTTCTTCCACAGTATGATGAGCACGTCATCAGCCCCAAGGAGTTTGTGCACCTGGCCGGAAAGTCCACCCTGAAGGACTGGAAGAGGGCCATCCGGATGAATGGCATCATGCTCAGGTGGGCCTCAGGCACAGGCGGGCATCATGCTCAGGTGGGCCTCAGGCACAGGTGGGCATCCAGCTCAGGTGGGCCCCAAGCAAAGGTGGGCATCCACATGGAGGGGGCACCACAATCAGGAGTGCAGGTGACCGTGCTGGATGTCCTTCCACGGTGGAAACGTGTGGTCATTGCTTTTCCATTTGCTCGGGGGTTTTGAAGATGAGGCACCTTTTAGACGTAAGGAGAGCTGACCCGTCCCCAGGCTGCACAGACGAGATGCTGTCAGACTTGAGCTTCTGCCGTCTCCCTCTGGGCTCCACCAGGTCCCCCTGGGGGTGTGTCTTTGTGCAGTAAACATTCCCGGTGCGACTAGCGCTTGCCCTTCAGACAGGCAGGGCCGTCTCTCAGCAGCCTTCCCGCTGTGCGGCACGGGCAGAGTGCCCGACCAGGAGTGGGTGTCGAGAGCCCCCTTGTCTTTGGCCTGCAGTGTGTGTTGGTTCGGCCAGTCGTCTGGACACGGTCGTCTCCGGCTCTGGGTCTGCCTGTCCAGACCGTGTTTGCTGCGGCTGTGGGTTGGCCTCTCGGCCTTCCTGCTAGTGAGTTGGAGGGCCGTGGTCTGGCCTGTGACGGGTTTGGTCGTGTGGGCCTGGCCCTGCCCTCAGTAAGGGTCCCTTTGTCCTCAGACTGCCTTCCCTGTGGCACCAGTCAAAAGTGTGCACACCTCGGCGGCGCCTGACGGCTCCACACAGACCCCGATCTGAAATCCAGGGCTGCGGCAGCCTCCTGCAGGGGTGCCCGGGGGCCTGTCCCCAGCGCCCTCTGACCCCTTCTGACTCGAGGCTTCACCCCACAGCCTGGGAATGATGCCCCTGGCTCTCCCATCTCAGCCTTCCTGCCTTGGTGTCACAGCCCCTGACTGGGGGCCCCACATCTGTCCAGGCAGAGAAGCGTCCGCTGGTGTCTGTGGCTGGCTGGGCGCTTCGCTGCGACGGGCTGCTGCCCTTCACGCCTTCCTGAGGATGGGCCTCACTGTCCTTGGCAGGCCCACTGTGCGGGAGCCTGACCATGGCCCTGGTCACTCTCCTTGTGAACCAGTCTGGGCTGAGAGAGGCAGATGCCCAAGACCAGGGGCCCATGGGCTGCCGTGTCCCCTGCCCTCACGCAGGCAGGCCCACGCGCTCACGGTTCTCTGTGTGCCCATCCCGCATCTCTGGTTTCCTAGTGTCAGAGCCGTGGTAAGGTGATGGCCCACTGAAGGGAGGTCGGTGCAGCCAGGCTGCCCCAGCGAGCGAGGCAGGAGGCCCCGGGGAGCGTCTACCCTCTCGCAGCGCGAGGCTTCTTGCTGTCTGCCTCCGAGCAGCCTGTGCCACCACCTGCACCTCCATGCACCGCGGGTCCACTCTCCTCTGGTCTCGCTGCTGCCCTGGGGCACCAGCCACACCGTCTCCTTCCCCTGGTCAGGGCCGTGTGCCTGGCTGCAGCGAGTCCCCTCACGGACCCAGGGCTTCGAGCTGGCCGTGGGACAGCCTGTGAGGGAGCCTCCTCTGCCCCCCGCCGTGGCCTCAGCCGTGCCTCCTGGGATGCGAGGACATGGTGGGCTGCCGAGCGGCGTCTCGCGGGGCCCATGCGGACGGCCTGCTGCCTGGCACACACGCGCGTGTCCACACAGGAAGATCATGGACTCCGGGGAGTTGGACTTCTACCAGCACGACAAGGTCTGCTCCAACACCTGCCGCAGCACCAAGATCGACCTCTCGGGCGCCCGCGTGTCCCTGAGCAGCCCCACATCCGCGGAGTACCTCCCACTCACCCCCGCCACGGCCGACGGTAGGTGCCGCATCCACTCAGGGTCACCTGGCCCCTTCTGTGCCGCCAGGGAGCTGGGTGGACGGCTGGCTCTCAGCCAGGCGTCCGTGCCCTGGCCCATGGTCAGCCCCTCCTCCCCCCCCCCCCGCAGAAGGCTGAACCGCTGTGTAATTGGGGGTGTCAGGCATTTTCTTTTTAAGTTACTTTTGTTGTGAGATGTAGCCACCCCTGTGCAGGAGCTCGTAAAGACGGTGACACCGACACCCAGGGCCTGCCTGCAGCTCTGACCAGCAGGGAGCTCCACGGTCCTTCCTGCAGCCACCCACAGCACCCACGGGACCCGCTCTCCCTGCACCCTCGGGCGCAGGGCGCCTTCTGACACACACCGTGTTAATGTCTCTGGCACTCACTCGTAGCGGGACGATGTACCCTGAGCTCATTCCAACTTTTTTCATATAGGTTCTTTTTAAAACCGAGCTCAGTGGACTCGGGTCCTGAGCTCCCTTGCCGTGCTGCTTGGCAGTCACTTTTTGGTACTGTGTGTCCAGGGACCTCACCTGCATTGTCCCTACGCTGTGACTGCATGGGGCCAGTCTGGGCTGCATGTGGCCAGGGACTGTCCTTGTCGCTGACCAGAGGGTGGCCTCGGAGGGAACTTGGCCTCTACCGGAGGGAGGAGAGGCGGGTTGGGCAGCAGAGAGGTGCTGCCATTGCCCAGATGTGCCCGGCATCCTGGCCGAGCGGCGGCGTGCGGTGCTGGTGGCCGGTCTGTTTTGAGTCTTTGCTGGAAGCTGCAGGAACAGCAGGTGATGCCGTCAGAGGGCTGGAGTGTCAGCTTCCTCCTCCTGCCCTGTGGGCCACTGTTCTTTCGCTTCTGTGCAGACCCAAGCCTCCCTGGGCCCTCGTCTGGCTCTTGGGACGGACGGTGTGGTAGGGCGGGGCCACCACAAAGCCCCTCCCCGGGGACAGGTCCCAACACGTCCCGGTCCTGTGGGGCCCCTAGCTCTCATGGCGGAGGGTGGCCGGTCAGTGTGGGTGACGTCTCTGAGGAGGGCCTGTCTTCGAGCTGGCACAGGCCTAGGGTTAGGGTTCAGCTCTTCGACCTCGCTTGTCCCTCATGGTTTGGACGGTCTGTCTGCCACGTCACTGGAACTTGGCTGCGTGGCGGCCTCCAGCCAGAGGCCCATGTGCAGCCAGTCAGACTGTCAGCCCAGAGCACATCTTTGTCGAATGTGGACACAGGTTGAAAAGCGGACGTCAGCCTGTCGCCAGGCCGTTCGTGTGAAGCCAGGTGTCTGGCAAAAGCAGCCACAAGTGGCCAGATGCCGCCGTGTCCACGATTGTGTGCAGCAGGCCCTAGAGGGCGGGTGACGGCTCATGTCCCCCAAGCGTCACCACGGGTGGAGATGCCGAGCTATATGCTGGTGTCGGTGACGCAGACAGGAGTGGGAGGGGTCTGGGGCACAGACCAGCTGAGCAGCCAGGACCTGTGCAGGCTGGGCTCGCTGACCTTCTGGGCCTGCGCTCAGGAGCGTCGGCTCCCTCTGCTCCGTGTGTTCGGCACCTGCGGTTCAGTGGTGGAAAGCACAGGGCAGGTGCGGCTGTGGGCCTCTGCACCGGGCGAGGGTTTGTCAGCTGTGGGTCGCAGTGAGGCTGGTGGGCTCACCTGTGTCCACCATCATTGCAGTGAACGGCTCTCCTGCTACTATCACCATAGAGACCTGCGAGGACCCCGGCGACTGGACCATGGCCATCGGAGGTACGGGGTCCTTCCTGGGGGCTTCTCCTGGGTGGGGGCTTGGGACAGGGCAGTGTGGGGAGCTGTGCCTGTGGGTGGCACCAGTGCTCGGAGGTTGCGGCCCCTGCTGGGCTGGCTCACTGGCCAACCCAAGCCCAGCTCGGTATGGGGACGTTGCTGACCCCCAGAGCCATGTCCTCTGTGGCCCTCTGCTCCTGCCCTGGTTGGAGCCCGTGGTGGCCGGGGCAGGACTGCTCTCTGAGCCTCCTCTCCCTCCCAGACGACACGTTTGCCTTCTGGCGAGGGCTCAAGGACGCCGGCCTGCTGGACGAGGTCGTACAGGAGTTCCACCAGGAGATGGTGGAGACCATGAAAGGCCTGCAGCAGCGGGTGCAGGACCCTCCCTTGCAGCTCCGAGGTGAGCGCACTACCAGGGCCTCCTGCAGAGCAGGGTGCTGGCTGGCTCAGAGCGCACGTGTGCACCCTGCTCCTGACAGGGCCGAGCTGAGCCCAGCGGTCTCTGTAGGGACAGCGAGTCCTCCTGCAGGGCCTGGGCTCAGGACCGCGCTGTGCCCTTGGTCGGGCCGTCCTCACCGCGCTCTCACCCGCAGACGCTGTGCTGCTCAACAACATCGTGCAGAACTTCGGCATGCTGGACTTGGTGAAGAAGGTGCTGGCTAGCCACAAGTGCCAGATGGACCGCTCGCGGGAGCAGTACGCCCGGGACCTGGCCGGTGCGTGGGGGCCACACGGGACAGGAGGGCACTAGCACGGTCAGGGGCAGTGCTTCTGTGACTCACTGTGTGGTTATTCATGAGAGGACGTGGCAGAGACATGGAAAGACAGACCATGACCCAGAGCACAGTTTGTGCTGGCCTTGCCTGTCTTTCCCAGCACCGCTGGTGTCTGAGCTTGTGGGGTGTGTGTGGGTGTGCATGTGTGCAGTTGCATGTGTGCATGCATGTGCACGTGCATGTGTGTGCATATGTAGAGCTGGCTGTGTGCACGTGTACATGGGTGTGTGCATGTGGTTGTGTGTGTGCATGGTTGTGCGTGTGCACTGTAGAGTGGGCTGTGTATGCACACGTGCACATGGGTCTGCCTGTGTGCATGTGTGTATAGTGGGTGTGCGTGTGTGTGCATGTGTAGAACTGGCTGTGTGCACACATGTACGTGGGTGTGTGTATGTGCATGTGTATGGTACATTGTGTGGGTGTGCATGTGCACATGTAGAGCTGGTTGTGTGTGTGAACATATGTGTGTGGTTGTGTGTGTGCATTGGTGTGCGTGTGTACACGCATGTGTGGTTGTGTTCGTGTGCATGTGTAGAGCTTGCTGGCTACATGTGCTGTTTTGACCTAGTTTCTACCTGACATCACAAGAGCAGCTCTCCATGCCCAGCGTAGGGGTCGGAGTGTGGGCAGCTCGGAGGGCAGGGCGGATGGTCTGACACTCCCTGTCCCTGGCGGAGCAGTGCCTCCCCCGACCCCACATCCCCACGGTGATGCTGTCTCCGTCCCCGTGTCCCGCGGTGACGCTCTGTCCTGTCCCTGCAGCCCTGGAGCAGCAGTGTGATGAGCACCGCCGACGGGCCAAGGAGCTGAAGCACAAGTCCCAGCACCTCAGCAACGTGCTCATGACCCTGACGCCCGTGTCCCTGCCGCCCCCCATGAAGCGTCCCCGGCTTGCAAGGGCCACATCTGGGCCGGCTGCCGTCGCCTCGCAGGTGCTCACCCAGTCCGCCCAGATTGCCCTCAGCCCAGGTGTGCCCGTCTCCCAGATGACCAGCGTGCCACTCGGCAAAGTGATGTCCACCCTGCCCTCCCCAGTGCTGGGCAAGGGCTGCCCCCAGGCGGCTCCCACCAGCTCCCCTGCCTCGCCACTGCTCGGGGGCTACACGGTGCTGGCCTCATCGGGCACCTCCTTTCCGGGCACAGTGGAGATCCACCCAGACGCGTCCAGCCTCACGGTGCTGAGCACGGCCGCCATGCAGGACGGCAGCACTGTGGTCAAGGTGGTCAGCCCCTTGCAGCTGCTCACCCTGCCCGGCCTGGGCCCCACCCTGCAGAACGTGGCCCAGGTGTCGCCCGGGGGCAGCACCATCGTGACAGTGCCCACGGGGGCGGTGGAGAGCGCCGTGGCCGCGCCGGGGCCTGAGGAGCACACGGCCACCATCGAGGTGGCCGCCATGGCCGAGGGCCACGAGCACAAGTAGCTGCTGGCCGAGGGCGAGGCCCTCGTGGGCACAGGACTGGCCCTCTCAGGCCACGGCGCAGCATGTGGGGCTGCGGAACCAAAGAGGAGGCGCCAAGATGGAGGAGAGGGGCAGGAGGCGGCAGCGCAGGGGCGCCCGCTGGGCTCCGAGTTCTGAACCTGTTTCTCGGGAAATATATTTTTCCATCTGTTGCTTCTTAATACTGTTTACACCTTGGGCCCGACCAGGAGCCTGACGAGGACACACAGGTCTCGCAGCAGGGACGGCAGGCAGTGCCCGGGAGGGCTGTTGCGCAGCGGGGCCTGGCGCTCGCGATGTCTTGGGGGCTGACCCCCGAGGTGGGCGCGTGGATCCTGTGGATCTGGTTTCTTCCCGCTGTCTCTGTCGGTCAGGCGCGGCGGGCCCTCTGCTCCCGTGTCCGGAACAGGCGTGGAGGTACGTCAGGTTGACCGTGGTCAGGTCCATGGGCTCTGGATCATGGGGTGCAGACTGGGGGCACCTGGCTGAGCAGAGAGGCTCCCCCATCTGCCCTCGGACGCTGGCACCCGGGCCGTCCGCCAGGCCCCGTGGGTGTTCTCCTGGGGACTCGTCAGCAGGCTTCCAGAGAGTCAGGTTTACAGTGTTTCAGCCTGAGTCGTGCCGAGTGCTTGGACTTCCGGAATCTTCTCTGATTCCAGAGTGTGAGCAGTAGCTGTGGGGCAGCCTGCATGAAGGGGACAGTGCTGGAGGCCCTGCCGCCTGGGCCCAGGGGGCATAGGTAGAGCAAGACGGGAGGGCCAGGCGCACCTTCCGATGGCCCTGGGCTCACCCTGCCGGGTACCATGCCCGCCTCAGCCCTGGGAGCCCCACCGGAGGTGCTGTGCCCCTGCCCATCGGGCACAGCCAGAGCCAGCGCTGGTGAGGGTGGGGACCCGGCGCTCACAGAAGGGCCGTCCGTGGCCACCACAGTTCTGACTCTGGAGTCACAGGGAGAGCTGGTCGGGCTGCCTGCAGCCCCAGGACACCCGAGCCCCTCGAGCATCAGGTCCCCACAGTCGCCCCAGTCCTGTGGCCTGCTGAGGATGCTTCTCTGGGGTTCCCACCATGGGGAGGGATCTCCTCAAGCTTTGAAGGGAACTGGCTCTGTCTGTCCTTCCATCCATCAGGTGCCCAGACCCCCCAGGGGCCGTGTGTCTTTTCTGTTCTCTGTTACAGTTCTGTTTGCCTTTTCATGGCCCACTGGCTCCAGCGTGATGCTTGCTTTCTTGTTTGTGTCTGCACTTTTGTCAAGTGCGTCTCGATGGAGTCCTGAGTCCAGTCAGGTGTCCCTGCCGCCCGTCCGCACCCACTGTTTGCTAACAGACCGTGCCTGGCGGCGGAGCCCTTGTTCAAGTCAGCTTCGCCCCCTTCCAGCCCCCTGGCCTGAGACTGCGGGGGCGCGTCCACTTCAGAGCCATACACGGGGCCGGCCAGGTCCGTCCTTCGAGCCCAGCCCGCCCCCTGGCCTGGGCGGCTTGGGGTCTGCTCGGCGGGGCCAGGGGGCTTGCTCGCTGGTGCTCCGAGGCAGCCCGGGCACAGGCATCTGAGTTCTACTGTTCAGGTGGTTTTGCAAGTATCTGCTCGATACTCGGATTTGAAGTAAAGATTGTTTCGTAATCCGTGTCTGTCTCTTGGATGAGGGCGTGCCGCGCACTCGCTCTGCCCTTGCTCCAGAGGAAGTGGTGTGCGGGCTGGCCCCGGACACAGCTGCTTCCTCCCGACAGGCCCTTCCTCTAGCAGGCCGTGTGCGGAGCGTGCTGCATCCTCAGGTGTCTGAAGGGTCCCGTGTAACCTGCGCTGTGGTGCCCCGACAGCCCCCGCCCAAGCCTCTGGGTGTCCATTGAGGGGCAGCACTAGCTTCAGGGGGCGGCTGGGGCCCGAGCAGAGGGCGGCCCTGCGGGCCTTCGGGAGCTGGGCGAGCAGATGGTTTTGGGAGCACCCCGCTTCTCTGGTTGGTCCTGCGAACGTGGAAGCCAGACAATGTGGGGGCTGGCAGCAACCCGTCTCGGCCGTCCTGGCCATCAGGCAGGAGCTGGGGGTCTGTCTGTCTGGTCCCCTGACCCCGCCCTGCCGTGCCCCCTGCTAAAGATGCTTTGAAGGGTCCCCTCTCCTCAGGAGGTACTCTGGGAAACATTACTGGGCAGACCCTGGTCAAAAAGTGAGTCACCGTGTGCTTCTCTGGGTTGGATCTGCCTGTGTCCCTCCGTGCGCTGGCTCTGCTCGGCGCTGTGGCTGGAGACCTTCCGAAGCTCCGACCCTCCTCCCACAAAAGCTGGTGTGGGCTGGCTCGTAACTCGTGTTAGTGACAAGGACGAGGCAGCCGTCCCGCGGTGTGACTTCCCAGGCTGGACTGAGAGGTAAGAGTGTTCTCGTCCCTTCCGTCCGTCTGTCTCTCTCTGTGTCTCTGTCAACGCCCTCATTCTGGAATCTGGGCTGCACCTTGGGGACACCATGTGGAGGTGGAGATGTGCTCAGAAGGCCCGTGGCTCCACCCCCAGCCCAGGTGACAGATGCGGACAGGCCCTCAGGTGACCTCAGCCGCAGGGCCCACGTCTGAGGCTCAGCCCTGTGGAGCAGAGAGCAGCTGACGCAGCCCCACAACTCAGGAGCCTCGTCACGGCTGTTTCATGCCCCTGAGCTTTGGGGCTGTTTGTTACACAGCTTTTCCTCACAGAACATGCTCACGGGCTTTTCCGCACAGAACATGCTCACGGGCTTTTCCGCACAGAACATGCTCACGGGCTTTTCCGCACAGAACATGCTCATGGGCTCAGTGCAGCCTCTCCTCAGGTCCTGATGGCCGTTTCTCTGCTGACCAGCAGCGCTGAGCCCTGTTTTAATGCCCTTACGGCCATTTGTGTATTTTCCCCCATGAAGTGTCTGTTCAGCGATTTTGCTCATTTTAAGAACAGGCTTTTAGCCCTGGCAGGTTTGGCTCAGCGGTTAGAGCGTCGACCTGCGGTCCAGAGAGACCTGGGTTTGGTTTCCGCTAAGGGCATGTACCTCGGTTGCAGTTTGTCCCAGGCCCTGGTTGGGTCATGTGGGTGGCAACCACTCGATGTGTCCCTTTCACGTCGATGTTTCTCTTTCTCTCTCTCTCTCTTCCTCTCTCTCCCTCCCACTCTATCTGTACAAAAAATAGAAATTTGTCCTCGGGTGAGGATAAAAAAAAAAAAGAACAGGCTTTTAAAAAAGTATTGAGTTTTGTCCAGCTGATGTGGCTCAGTGGTTGAGTGTCGACCCTGTACCAAGAGCTCTCCGGTTCGATTCCCAGTCAAGGCACTTGCCCAGGTTGTGGGCCCGATCCCCAGTGGGGGCATGCAGGAGGCGGCCAGTCGATCTCTCTCATCAGTGTTTCTCTCTCTCTCTCCCTCTCCAAAACCAATAAAGGAAAAATAAAATAAAGTATTGCTTTTCGAGGTTCAGAAAAGCGTGCCCACGGTTCCCCGTCAGAAGGGTGTGTTTTTGGCCGAGGCCTGCTGCTTCTTGTCCTCACAGCGGCCTCTGAACAGCAGAAAACGTTGGTGTTTATGAAACCCAGGCCCCCCACTTTTTCTTCCAAATTCGTGCTTCTCGTGTACTCTCGCAGAAGTATTTGCTCACCCTGGTCTGTGGCTTCCTTCTGTTTCCAAGTGTTGCGGCTCCCGCGGTGTCGACGTGACCCACCTTGGGTTAACTTTGTGTGTGTCAGGCCCTGACGTTCGCTTCCTCCTGGCGTGTTCGGTTGTCCGGCACCGGCTGTGGGGAGGGTGCCCTTTGAGAGGACACATCCGCGGATTGGGCTTGCGGGACTCCTGACCAGCCCAAGCTGAGTCCCCGAGAGCCTGCGTGCAGTACTGGTTGCTCTGTCAGCGCCCATCCCGGCGACGGGCAGGCCCTGCAGCCCCTGGGCTGTGAGCAGCCTGGCTGGGAGGGGACCTCCCCTGGGAGGTGACAGGTGAGGCCCGGAGGCCAGGTGGTGGACTTGAACCTCTGGCGTCAGGAGCTGGCCACGTCCCGTGTTCCAGGGAGGAGACCAGGCTCTGGCTCACGGGCTGCTGGGGTGGGAGCAGTGCAGTGGACTTGGCTAGAGCGGGTGGAGGTGCACAGAGGTCAGGTGCTTCGCGGAGGGACAGGTCTGAGTCCCGCCTGCTGCCCCTCCAGACCGGCAATCCTAGGAAGGAGGGGCTCACTCCCCTTTGTTGGGGGTTCAGTTATGTCTCCCACATGGTGGGAATGAGACAGATTAGTAAACCAGGACAAGTGGAATAGGGAAACTGAGACAGGTAGTTTATATATTTTATTAAATATTTTTTCTGTATTGATTTTAGAGAGGAAGGGAGAGGGAGAGATAGAAACATCGATGAGAGAACATCGATTGGCCACCTCCTGCATGCCCCCCACTGGGGATCAGGCCCACAACCTGGGCATGTGCCCTGACTGGGAATCGAACCAGTGACCTCTTGGTGTAGGGGTCAAGGCTCAACCACAGAGCCACACCGGCGGGTAAGACAGATCATCCAGTAAACCGCAAGATCCCCTCTTCCCAAGGACAGGAAGAGTGAATGGTTTGTACTCAAAACAGAAACCAGTTACTGCCGCTGGTATTACTGCCGGTCATGCCAGCCACACCCAAGGGTGGATGGAGTCAGGGGAGTAAACTTCCTTTTAAATCAGCATAAAGCTGATGCATGTTTACTAAGACCCTCCCCAGGACCTCCCTTAAAATCGCTCCTTCAGAGGACGGATAAGAGCCCTGGAGACGAGGGCCAGCACGGGTCTCGGGAGCACACCCAGCCCTCCGTCCCTCACAGGCCTGCCTCGTGGCCTGGCTCCTAGCTCGGAGGGTCCCGTGAAGCTTGCGGCCAGGGGCAGTGGGCAGTGACCGTTTGTCCCTGGTGCACCCCTGACCCGGTCTCCAAGGCCTCCCTTTCGTCTGACTTCCCAGTGAACCGACAGCAGCCCGCCTGGGCCCACTCCGTCACCGTGACCGTCTTCTCGGCGAGCCCACGCAGCCCGTGTGGCCCCTTTGTCCCGTGATGTTCTGGGGAGCCAAAGCAGCCCCTCCCAGGCTCTCCTGCCGCTCCTTCTACTCTCAGCCCTCCCTGGCGTCACTGTCGCCGCTCCAATAAACGTACTGTCACAGTCACCTGACTTGTGTTGTGAAATCCTTCCTGCATGAAGTCAAGAACCCATTCACCACCGGAGGCCCGGGCGGGCTCGAGGCAGACCCTCTCCAGCCTGCTCCCTGTCCCCCCTGCCACCCCGAGTGTGGCCCTCCCAGGCCCAGGAGGCGGGGGCCCAGAGTGCTGGTGAGAGGGGCACAGGGGCAGCAGGTGTCGACTTCAAGAAGCTGCAGCCCTCAGAAAGGGGGGTCTGACCTATGCTGGGGCTAGGGAGGTGTGGGTGGCTCCACCCCAGCGGTTTGGGGACCATCCCAAATCTTCCCCTTGCTCATCTGAGCTCAGGGGGGGGGGTCGGGGGGGGCGCACACAGGTGCAGAGACGTGATGGGGTCAGGACAGAGACGGCAGCCGGCACCCATGGTGTGGCCTCTCCTTGCAGTGAGACCTTCCTGGCCCCCGTGACCTCCCCATGACCCCATAAGAAAGGACGATTTAAAGAGGCCCTCATGGCTGCACCCCTTCCCCTGGGCTAAGCCGGGATTTCCCTTCCCATAGACTCAATACCTCATGGCTAGGTGGTGGGTCTCTGAGGGGACCCCTACAAGGGTCCTTGAGGGCCAGGCCTGGTATTGAAGTTCTGTTTAGGTAGGTGGTAACCGGAGGCTGCTAGGGCCCGCTGGGAGGCCCAGGCCCATGGCGCAGGTGAACTGAGGCCTGGCCCCCTTTCCCAGCCATTCTGGGTGATGGTGGAGGCTGCAGAGGGCGCGAGGTGCCGAGCTCTGCCCACTGGAGGCCGCAGAGGGCGCGAGGTGCCGAGCTCTGCCCACTGGAGGCCGCGGAGGGCGCGAGGTGCCGAGCTCTGCCCACTGGAGGCCGCGGAGGGCGCGAGGTGCCGAGCTCTGCCCACTGGAGGCCGCGGAGGGCGCGAGGTGCCGAGCTCTGCCCACTGGGGGCCGCGGAGGGCGCGAGGTGCCGAGCTCTGCCCACTGGGGGCCGCGGAGGGCGCGAGGTGCCGAGCTCTGCCCACTGGGGGCCGCGGAGGGCGCGAGGTGCCGAGCTCTGCCCACTGGGGGCCGCGGAGGGCGCGAGGTGCTGAGCTCTGCCCACTGGAGGCCGCGGAGGGCGCGAGGTGCCGAGCTGCCCACTGGGACATGGGCTGGGTGAGGAGGCCTGGGTGGCGGGGCGTGGGGGCTGGATCCTTTATTTACTTTTTAAGTTGATACAGTTTCAAACACACACACAGAAGTTGCAAAAGCCAAGGCATGTGTGTTTTATCTGCACTCACCAACAACTCACACTTGGTCCCATCTGGTTTATCAGAAATCTGACCTCTGAACCAGCCAGGAATTGGACCCCTTCACCGGATAGCCCTGTGATGCGCTGAGAGCGTGGACGGGGGTGGTCACTGCAGCAGGAGATGCGGCGTCACTGGGACTCAGCCACCTTCACATCTAACTGCTAATCACCTCATGCATTTTATCTATTTTTTTGTAACCCACAGGTGGTCTGAGGCCCCTCCGTCTCTTCCAGTCTGGGGAACTCCTCGAGGCCGGGACATTTTGAGGAGCAGGGCTGGTCACTGTGGACTCTCTGTTGTTTTCTGAAGATTGGGTTCAGGGTTTGTATTTTGGGGACCACAGGAGAGGGGCTGTGCCCCCCGGTGCACCTGGGCTCAGCCTGTCCACCAATCCTGACGCCAGTGACGTGAGCCCTGACGCCTGGCTCGGGAGATCCCAACGTTTCTCCACCTCAAGTCACTGTCTGCCTTCGGAACCAGTCGGCGTCCCGGGGAGATGCTTTGAGACAAGGTGAATCTTCTGCTGTAACTATAACCATGTTGGATGCAGGGTGTGAGGAGGGGCCGGGGCCTGGGCACCGGGGAGATGGGTTGTCATTTCTCGGAGCCAAGAGGCGTTGGAGCGGCCGGAAGAGCAGGTCTGGGCCCTGCAGTGTGAGATGCCTGCCTGACACTCGGGGAAGGTGTGCGGGACCCTGTGTGTCTGGAGCTGAGGACGCAGTCCCTGCTGCAGGTGACGGAACTAGTGCCATCAGCATCTGGGTCAGCGGTTCTCAACCTGTGGGTCATGACCCCCTTTGGGGGTCGAACGACCCTTTCACAGGGGTCGCCTAAGACATTGGAAATACATACGTATTTCCGTATTTCCGATGGCGATTCATAACAGTAGCAAAATTACAGTTATAAAGTAGCAACAAAAATAATGTTATGGTTGGGGGTCAGCACAACATGAGGATCTGTGTTAAAGGGTCGCGGCGTCCGGAAGGTTGAGCACCACTGCTCTGGATGATCATCGAGGCCAGGAGGCGAAGGGACGGTCCAGGGTTCATACTTGACGTGGTACCGTCTACATACTGCATGTCTATTTAAATAAGGAATTCCCATGACACAAAACCAGAAATGCAGAAACGTGGAGGGAAAATTGAGCTTCCTCCTGCCCCAGCCACACAATTTACTTCTCGTATCTGAAGCCGAGCTATAGTTATACTTTGCTTTAAAAAAAAAAATCCTCAGCCGAGGATATTTTTCCATTTATCTTCAGATAGAATGGGAGGGGGAGAGAGAAACATCGATGTGAGCAGGACACATTGATCAGTTGCCTCCCGCACGACCCCCACCAGGGCCAAGACCAAACCGCAACCCAGGTACTTGCCCTGACCGGAATCGAACCCGTGACTCTTCAGTCTGCCGGCCGACGCTCTAACCGCTGAGCCAAACTGGCCAGGGCCACATATTTTTAAATTCTGTCTTTTCATTTTTTATTGTTTAACTCTGGGTGCATTTGTGCACCCCGATCTTCTTCTTGAACAGGTTATCTTGAGAAAAACGTCACTGCGGGTCATGTGAGCCGCCTCCCCATTCCCGGCCTCGGGGACGGAGCCAGTGTAGGCGGCGTGAGGCAGCGAGCTGACCACAGGGCTCCTGGCCTGCTGCGCTCAGGCAGGGCCCTGCGTGGGGGTGCTCTGCCCACGCTAGTGTCTGCAGGATTGCCACCGGGGGGTCTGTGCCCCCACACTCTGACGCGGGGCTGCCCTCCACTGTGCCGTGTCCGGCTCCAGCCTTTGCTGGTCAGAGAGGTGAAAACAGCCTGCGGTTCTGCTGCGTTTCCCCGAGAGTGTGGTCTCAGCGACTCAGAGCCTGCGGCTGTGATGTGGAGTAGAATGTGCGTGTGGCCTTCGCTCTGCTGGTCCCTCCTTCCGCGCACGCTCGCTCTATCCGCATGCGCCTCTAGCATCGGCAGGTGTCCGACCACAGCCTCGGAGAAGAGGAAACGCCCACATGCGTAGTGTCTGCTGGTTTCCGTGGGGTTGCTATTTCCATCGCAGCAGGTTTCAAACCAGCAGCCTGGCATCTGGACGGAGCAGGGGAGATGAGCAGGGAGCCCTCGGACGGGAGGGCCGGGCTCCCTTAGCAAGGCCTTCCGGCTCCGGGATTACCAGCGGCACGCACAGTGCTCCGTGTGTCTCTAGCGCCAAGACCATTTTGTTCTCTGTTTAAACCTCTGGTTTGTTGTGCTGGTTTATGGGGTGTCCAGTGTTGGGTGGCGAGCCCCCTTTCCCATTTTTGGTTCAAGATGCTAACCGGTTGTCATAGAACCGCCAGAACAAAGCAGTTCTAGCAGAATTTGTGGAATGAACCATCTCTCCCTGGTCCTGGAATGCCGCCTGTCGTCATGTATGACATTGCTGTGTGTGGATCAGCCTGTTTTTGGACTCTCCTTGCTGACACCTCGACCTGCGTGTCCATTTCTGCTCCAGAACCACACTCCTGTTGCCCCTTTGCGGTACGATCTAGTGGTCGGGGAGACTAGTATCCTCTGTGACTCTTTGCATTCACTGAGATGTGACTGACCGGTAGCATTACACTGAGGGGCACACACGTTGATGTGAAGCATTTACCTTGCAGTGGGATCGGCACCCTAGGGTGGGCCCGCTCATCTGCACCCACAGAGCAAACACCCTCTCATGTGCTGGGAACAACGAGGCTCTGGGCTTCTGAGCAAGTCTGACGTTGATAACAGCAGTGTTGACTGTGCTAGGTCTTCTTGTTTCAAGTGTACACCCCTAAAAACATCCTGGTTCCCTTGGCCCCCGCCTACGCTGACTCTCTGTTTTTAACAGCCTGGCTTTTTTTTTTTAAGACTCCACATGTAAACAGTATCACGTTGCATTCATTTTATTCCCACTTACCTCACTGAGTATATCAAGGTCTGTTTACATTGTTACAAACGGCAGAATTTCGTGCTTTCTATGGCTGAGTAATATTCCAATGTGTGTGTGTGTGTGTGTGTGTGTGTGTGTGTGTACAGTTAGGTTGTTTCCCTATGTTGGCCACGATGAGCCATGCTGCAGAGAACATGGGATGGAGGTATCTCAGAGATCGGGTTTAATCCCATTTGGATACACACTCAGAAGTGGAGTTGCTGGGTCATAAAGCAGTTCTATTTTTAATTTTTTGAAGACCCTCCATACTGTTTCCCGCAGTGGCTGCACCAGCCTGCATTCTCATCAACAGTGCACGTGGGTTCCCTTTTCTCCACGTCCTCACCAACACTTGTCATTTTTGTCCTTTTTTAAAAAATTGATTTTAGAGAAAGGAAGAGACAGAGAGAGACATTGATTGGTTGCTTCCTGCACGTGTCCACAATGGGTATAAAACCCGAAACCTGGGTATGTGCCCTGACTGGGAATCGAACCCACCACCTTTTGGTATATGGGATGACGCTCTAATCAACGGAATCACACTGACCAGGGTTTGTCTCCTCCCTCCCCTTTTTTAAAATCCTCATCCGAGGACATTTTTGCACTCATCTTCAGACAGAGCGGGAGGGAAAGAGGAAGGAAGAGAGAAATAGAAACATCCAATGTGAGAGAGACATATCGACTGGTTGCCACCCACACGACCCCAACGGGGGCCGGGGACAAACAGCAACTGAGGTACACGCCCTTAGCAGGAACCGAACCCTGGACTCTCTGGTCCGCAGGCCGATGCTTTAACCGCTGAGCCAAACCGGCCAGGGCAGGGTTTGTCTTTTTGATAATAGCCATTCTGGCAGGTGTGAGATCTCACTGTGGTTTTGATTTGCATCTCCCTGATGATTAGTGATGTTGAGCCTCTTTTCATGCACCTGTTGGCCACCTGCCTGTCCTCCCTGGAAAGGTGTTTATCCAGGTTTTTGCCCATTTGAAACTGGATTGCTTTCTGGGTTTTTTTCCACTGTTGCGTTGTACGAATTCTTTACATGTTTTGGATGTGAACTCCTTGTTAGATTCATGGTTGCGAGCGTTTTATTCTGTAGGTGGCCTTCTCAGTGTACCGGTGGTTTCCTGGGCTGTGCAGAAGCTCTTTCATTACAAGCTGTTTATTTTCACTTTCGTTTCCTGTGCTCTGTGTGTCATTCTCAAGAACTCGTTCACAGACCAACATCAGGACATTACTCCCTGTTTGCTTCTAGAGATTTCACAGTTTCGGGTCTTACATCCAGTCTCTGATCCATTTTGAGTTGACTTTTGTGACTGGGGTCAGACAAGGGTCCCGTTTCATTTCTTCCCGTTGGATATCCAGTGTCCTGACCACAATTTGTTGAAGACACTGTCCTTTCCCCATGTGTGTGTGGTGGCAGAATTAGTGACCGTGTATGCACAGGTTTATTTCTGGGTTCTCGACTCGGCCCCACTGACCTCCGCGCCTGTGTTCATGCCAGTACCACACTGTTTTGATGACTGTAACTTTGTAACATATAACATAGCTTGAAATCAGGTGCGATGCCTCCAGCTTTGTCCCTCTTTCTCAGGACTGGCATTTGGAATCTTTCGTGGTTCAAACCAAGTTTTGGGATCATTGTTTTTGTTTCTATTAAAAATGCCTTCCCAAAATAAATCTGGGAGGAACTGCCATCTCTGTGTCACGCTGAGTCTCCCTGTCCAAGAAGGAAGCATTTCGGTCCGTGGTCCCCGGCTGTTGTGCCACCCAGGACCCCCTCTCTCTTGTCGAGCTCGCCAGTGGGTCTTTTGCTGCTGCTCGTACTCCTGAGGTGTCCTCCTCCGCTTCGTTCTGGGACTGTGTGCATCGAGGCCGCTGGCGCGACTGTGAGCGGCGTGCCAGGCAATTCCTGCCTGAACGGGGAAGTGCCCATTTTGTCCTTCCCAACAGGGTGGTGACCTTGGGTTGGGACAGTTGCATTTTATTGTTTGAGGGACAGTTTGTTGTTTCCGTGATCTATTACTGTGTGAGAACCCTCCCCATACTGGGTAGCTCAGAACAATAATAAACATTTGTTATCTCACAGGGGGGAGTGTCTTGGCTGGTGGCACAGGCTTGGGACCTCTCAGGAGGCTGCAGTCAAGGCGGGGGGGGTGGTGGTGGTGGCGGGGATAGCCAAGGGGGGGCTGCTTGTGCAGGACTCTCACAGGCCTGACGGCCAGCGCTGGTTCGGGGCAGGAGGCCTCAGTTCCTCCTGGGTGGGCCCCTCCACTGGGCTGCTTGAGCATGGGCCTCACAACGAGGCCTGACTCCCCACAGAACAGCACCCCGAGAGCAAGGAGGCCACACAGGGTCCAGACGACCCAGACAGTCGTCACTCCGTCATTTCCTGCGTGCCCCTGGTTGCACAGGTCAGCCCTGTTCAGCGTCCGGAGGACAGGCAAGGCTCTGACTCTGGGAAGGGGGCTCCCTGGGCCCCCTGGAGGTGGGGTGCTTTGCCACCATGGAGCCGCTGAGCCTTTGCCAGCGACCAGGGTGCCTCGTTTTCTCCCGTGGGGTGAAGGTGGACCCGGCACAGGGGAGTTTGGGGTCTCAGATGCAGTTACTCTGCAAAGGGCCCTGTCTTCCCGCATGGCCCAGCGCGGCCCGCCGGCAGCCCCACATCTCTGGTGCGTTTTGGGGTTCGGCTGCAGCACCAGAGCCTCCGGGTCAGAAGAGCTCTCCGGGGACCCTCCCGGTGGGGGCAGGTCCCCGACCCAGCCCGGCCGGCCTCCCAGGGGGTGGGGCCGCCGCTGCCAGCCGGCCGTGCCTCTCCCTCCGGCGCCCTGCCTGGCGCCCCAGCCTTGGGCGCGGGTTCGAGTCCGGCCGGCGGCGGGCGGCGCCGAGGGGCGGGGCGGGGGCGGGGCGGGCGGTGAGGTAATTTCCGCGCTCGGGCGTCAGAGGTTTGAGTCACCCCGGGGGCAGAATCGAAAGTGATCGCGGGCGCGGCCGGGGGTGAGTGCGGGCGCGGGTCCCTGCGCCGGCGGGCCGGGGGCTGTGGGGCGGGGCCAGGCGGGGCAGGCCGCCGTGGGGGGCCGGCCGCGACCCCCGCCCCGAACCCCAAACCCCGCCCCGGACCCGCCCACCGCGCTGCGCGGGCGCCGGACCCCAGTTCCCTCCCTGTGGTCCTGTCCTCACCCGCCTAGCCCCCCGGCTTCTGAACATCCGCAGGGTTGGGGTCCCCCCGCCCAAGTTCCCCTGGGCTCGGGCTCCTGACTCCAGGCTGACCTCCTGCACTTCCTCCGAGCATCGTCGGGGTCCCCGAGTTCCCCTGGCTCTGCAGAGGGAGCCAGTGTCTGCAGAAGCTAGTTTCCCTCTGATGTAGACAACCCTTTGGGGAACTCCCCTTCCCCGGGGAACCCCCACGAAGCAGACTGCGTTGCCTAGGCAGGCCCCCCTCCCCCAAGGTTCTGTCCCCTGGGTGCTCACGGCCCCCCTCACCATCCCCAGGAGAGGGAACCAGACCCCAGTCCACATTAGGGGGGGCACCATCGCCAGGGAAGGAAACCGGACCCCTGTCCACATGGGGGGCATCGTCCCCAGGGGAGGGAACCGGACCCCAGTCCACATGGGGGGGGGAACCATCCCCAGGGAAGGAAACTGGACCCCTGTCCACATGGGGGGCACCGTCCCCAGGGGAGGGAACCGGACCCCTGTCCACATGGGGGGCATCGTCCCCAGGGGAGGGAACCGGACCCCTGTCCACATGGGGGGCACCATCCCTGGGAGCCACCTGTCTCTCACAGAACTGGGGGATGGGCTTTCAGAACTCAGGAGACGGACCTTGAGGGCCTTGGGTAGCAGGAGGGGTCGGGGAGGAGCAGAGAAGGCCCTGGGCAGCCCCCCCCAATTGCAGCTGCTGCTTCTGAGTGTGGCCCAGAGACCCTCAGGAGGGGAGGTCTGCATGGGTCCGTGGGCCCAGCATCCTAGACCTAACAACCCTCTACTTCAGTCCTGTCTCCAGAACCCCCCTGCTGGCCTCCTGGGCCCCTGCTGAGGGCGAGGCAGCCCTGAGCCCCTCCTGGCCTCCGTGCCGGCCTGACCTAGCTGTCTGCTTCCTGTCCCACACTCGCCTTCAGGAGTGACAGCCCAGAGGACCAGCAGAGCCCGTGAGCCTTGAATGTCACCTCGCAGGGCCAGGCCAGCGTTGGAGATGGTGTCCCCGGGGTCTGGCCCGTTGCCCGCCGGCCCCGCGGCCCCCAAGGAGCCAGCCCTGGCCAGGCTGTGTGCCCAGGTGGACCTGTGTCTGGGCTGCTCCCGCTGCGCCCAGCGCCTCAACGAGAGCACCTACCTCCTGCACCCCGTGGAGCACAGCTGTCCCCGCGAGATCCTGCTGGCCCGCTTCAAGCACGCCACCCAGAGCAGCATCTGGCGCAAGGTGAACCAACGGCCCAGCTTCCCGCGGCCCGCGCGGTATGAGGTCTGCCGCTACTACAGCCCCGGGCAGGGCTGCCGGCGGCACCGGAACCAGTGCACCTTTGCCCGAAGCCCCGAGGAGGCGCTGGTCTGGACCTTCGAGCGGGAGCACAGCGTCCACCGTCTGTGGCTGAAGGCCGCAGTGGAAGGTGGCGGGGCCCAGGGCAAGCTGCGCAACCTGGCGGACACCATCCGAGAGGACTTTGGTGGCCACTTCCAGCTGCTCTGCAGCCGCTGCTTCCGGCTCTGCCCCCCACGCCTCAGCCGCCTGGGTCCCCAGAGACGCTGCCACACACATGGAGCCGGCCCCTCGATTCTTGCCCACGTGAGCTCTGAGGGCCGCCACCAGAAGCAGGTGGTGGAGGTGCGGCCACAGCCCCAGTACCGCCGGCCGCTGACCTACTGCATGTTCGTGGAGCGAGGACGGCCGTGCCGGCATGGGGCGGCCCGCTGCCAGTACGCCCACAGCGCCGTGGAGATGGCCGTGTGGAAGGCGGAGCAACAGGGGGGGCTCCAGAGGGCAGACCTGCTCACATGCCCCGCCCCCAGGGGCAGCAGGCAACTGGCCGCCGACAGCCAGCCCCCCGCCCCCCAGCTGTACTGCCACGCCTGTCTGGTCACCTGCGGCTCCCAGGAGGCCTTCGAGAACCACTGCTCCTCCCCGGAGCACGTGCAGATGGTGGCCCAGGGCCAGGCCGTGGCCTGGGTCCACCGAAGCCCGCCCACTGGGCTCTCCGCCTTTGAGCTCTGCCCCAGGTAGGGCCAGGGGTGGGGTTCGGGAGGAGGTGACCCCCCTTCAGCCAGAACCAGGGTCTCCGTCCATGTTCTCCCCTTGTGACCAGCTGGCACCTCATCTGCCTCAGGTGGGGAAGGGAGGTCCCTGGAGGTGGCTCCTCCTGGTCTTGCGGGCACAGCAGGGTCCTGGATGGAGGAGGTCCCTGCCTCCGCCCCGCCCCCAGCTTGGAATCTGTTCCTGCCCCCACACAGGCCTCTGGGGCTGAGGGTCTCACCCAGTGGCCTGCTGCCCCCTCCCCAGGCCCGCCCTCTGTGAGTACGGGAACAGCTGCACCAAGGCCCACTCGGAGCAGGAGCTGCAGGAGTGGACACAGCGGGTGCAGACGGCACAGCTCCGGGAGCAGGCGGCCTGGCAGGAGGGGCTGGTGCCGTACCGGGAGCGGCTGCTGGCCGAGTACCAGCGCAGCAGCAGCGAGGTCCTGGTGGTGAGTGGGGCCTCAGGAGCGGGGCGGGGTGGGCAGTGGGCAGGGCCACCCTGATGCCGGCCTGGCTTCCCCGCGCAGCTGGCCGAGACGATCGATGGCGTGTCTGTCGCCTGCGACCAGCCCCTGGTGCATCGGGCCCAGGAGAAGAAAATCCAGCACAGCTGGACATTTGTCGTCCACTCTGAGGTGAGGGGTCTGCAGAGCTCTGAGTCGGCTGGAGTCCGGAGCCGCTGTGCTACACCCGTGTGTGCCTGTGTGGGGGTGTCTGTGCCTGGAGCCATGGGGTTTTTAGTGGAAGTTCTGCTGGAGAGCAAGGGGCTGAGCTGGTGGCCGCGGTGCCCGAGCTCCCGTGCTGCCCTGCACCTCTGTCAGCGTGCGTGGGGCCCTCCTGGGCAGGTTCTGCGACCCCACCTTGCAGGGGAACACAGGCTCAGAGAGGCTGGGATCGAAGGGGGAAGAGTGGGGCTGGGAGGGGGTCTGTGTCAGCCTGGACCCTGGCAGGAGGGACAGGGCCCCTGGGGCTGCCTCACCATCCAGTCTCTTCCCAGGAGCCCCTGCAGCACGTGGCCCTGCTCAAGCAGGAGCCTGGAGCAGACTTCTCGCTAGTGGCTGCCCGCCTGCCCCTGGACCAGGTGTACGCCCAGGGGGAGCGCTTCCGCACGCCCGACTGCCCCTCCGAGTTCCAGGTGGGGGTGCGTGTGCAGAGCGCCTCCTTCGGCACCTTCGAGCAGTGGGTGGTCTTTGACTTTGGCCGCCGGCCAGCCCTGCTGCAGAGGCTGGTGCTGCAGCTGGGCCAGGAGCACCGCCCAGGGGGGCTGCTAGCGCCCGGCCACCCCGAGGAGCTGGAGCGCTGGAACACGGGCAACCGCCATGTGGTCCCTGGCGTGGAGCGCACAGCGGAGCAGGCCGCCCTGATGGCCAAGTACAAAGTGCCCGCCCTGGCCCTGGAGTTCAGCCGCGGCAGCCCGGCCCCGGGGCCCCTGTCCTGCACCAACTACCGGCAGAGGATGCACCAGTTTCTCTATGAGGAGGAGGCTGCTCAGCAGCAGCTGGTGGCCAAGTGCGTGGGGTGGCGAGGGTGGGGCTGCTGGGGTACCAGCCGCAAAGTGGTGGCCTCGGTCAGCTGACCCACGTCCTCCCCTTTAGGCTGAACCTCCGTGCACCAGTGTCCCTGAAGACCTCCCTGCAGACGCCAGCCCTGGGCATGCTCTTCCCGCCCCCGGGAGCCCTCTATGCCGAGGTCCCCATCCCCTCCTCCCTGGCACCAGACACCGATCAGGGCTTTCTCCTGAGCCGGGCAGTCAGCACGGCGCTCCTGGCTCCCGTGCCCGCACCTGACCGCAGGGTGTTCGAGGTGCGGCTGGAGACCCGGGCCAGCTCCGAGCAGGCGAGGTGGCTGCTGCTCCCGGCTCACTGCTGCGAGGCCCTGGGGCTGCAGCCCGAGACCAGCCCCCTGCTGGAGGTGCAGTTCCAGGTCGACCTGCTGACCTTCCGCCTCTGGCACGAGGCCGTGGACGCTCTGCCCGAGGAGCGCCTGGTGGTGCCCGACCTGCAGGCCTGCGCCCTGCCCTGCCGGCGGCCCAGTCCTCCCGCGCTGCACGGCAACCGCAAGCAGAAGCTGGCCGTGGAGCTCATCGTGAGCGGGGGCCCCGGCGGCCAGCCCGTCGCCCCCCTGCTCATCTACGGCCCCTTCGGCACAGGCAAGACCTACACACTGGCCCTGGCCTCCCTGGAGGTGATTCGTCAGCCCCACACCAAAGTGCTCATCTGCACACACACCAACAGGTGAGCCCGAGTGCCCGCGGGCCCGCCGCCTGGCCGGCGGGTGCTGCTGAGGTGGTCTCCCCCAGAGAAGACGGGGTTCCCTGGAGGCCTGGGAGCCCAGTTCTAGCGCGGAGGTGCCGGGGCAGCCTGGCCGTTGGCAGAGCGCGGCCTGGGCTGGGCTATTCTGTGCTCTGGGGACAGTCCACCCCTGGGCGGGTCCCAGCCACTCTGATCCTTGGGATTCTCCCTGATAGACGGTCAGTCCTGAGCTGAAAGGGAAGGGGACGCCTATGCTTCAGGCCCAGGTCAGGTGCCCTGGAAGTCGGGGTGTGCTGTCTGGGTGTGGGGCTGTGGGTGCCCCGCAGAGGCCTGGACCCGGGGGGGGGGTATGGGTAGGGTGTGGAACAGCCCCAAGCACTCCCGGACGGGGTCCCACTGTTGTTTTTAAGAGAAACACAGACGTCAGCTGCGTCGGGGCCGCCACAGGTGTGTCCAGGCAGGGCCAGGCCCCCAGTAGGCACTCAGCAGCGGCCCAGGCCCCACGTGCCCTCTCCCCCTCAGCGCGGCCGACATCTACATCCAGGAGCATTTCCACGGCCACGTGACCAGTGGCCACCCAGAGGCCACGCCGCTGCGGGTGATGTACACGGACCGGCCGCCCAGCCAGACGGACGCGGCCACGCTGCAGTACTGCTGCCTGACCAAGGACCGCCGGGCCTTCCGCCCGCCCACGCGCGCCGAGCTGGAACAGCACCGCATCGTGGTGGCCACCACCTCGCAGGCCCGCGAGCTGCAGGTGCCCGCCGGCTTCTTCTCGCACATCCTCATCGACGAAGCCGCCCAGATGCTGGAGTGCGAGGCCCTCACCCCGCTGCGCTACGCCCTGCCCAGCACCCGCGTGGTTCTGGCGGGGGACCACATGCAGGTCACGCCCCGGCTCTTCAGCGTGGACCGGGCGCAGGCGGCCGGCCACACCCTGCTGCACCGGCTGTTTCGGCTCTACCAGCAGCAGACGCACGAGGAGGCCCAGCACAGCCGCCTCATCTTCCACGAGAACTACCGCTCCACGGAGGCCATCATCGACTTCGTCTCCCGGCACTTCTACGTGGCCAAGGGCAACCCCATCGTCGCCCGCGGCAAGGTCCCGCGCCACCCCCGGCGCTACCCGCTCATGTTCTGCCACGTGGCAGGCAACCCCGAGCGCGACCTGTCCCTGATGTCCTGGCTCAACACGGCCGAGGTCGTCCAGGTGGTTGAGCAGGTGCAGGAGCTCTGTGACACCTGGCCGCAGTGCTGGGGCAGCTGCGAGCAGAGACACATCTGTGTGGTGTCCCACGGCGCCCAGGTAAGCGCCGTGGCACAGCCCGCCCACTGCCCACGGGACGTGGCCTCCCCTCGTGGGCTTCCCAGCCTCCGCTCCCCCTTCTGTAGCAGGGGCTGAGCAGCGCATCTCCCAGGGTGGATGCGGGGCATGGACCCCATGTGTGGCTTCAGGGCGGGGTGTGGTTGTTGGGGACCCCGCCTTCTCTCCCCGGGCCTGCTGATGTGGTCTGTGTCTCCAGGTGAGTGTGCTGAGGCAGGAGCTGAGGAGGAGGGACCTGGGCCAGGTGTCCGTGGGCAGCTTTGAGATCCTGCCAGGTGGGTGGTCAGGGGTGAGGTGGGGGGAGGGGGGCAGGGCTGCCCTTCAGCCCAGCCTGACCGCACCCCTCCCGCAGGCCGGGAGTTCCGGGTGGTGGTGCTGAGCACCATCCACAACCACCAGAGCCTGCAGAGCCCGGGCGCCCCGCCCCTGGAGTTCTTCACGGACGCCCGCGTGCTCAACACCATCATGACCCGCGCCCAGTCGCAGGTGGTGGCTGTGGGGGACGCCGTGGCCCTCTGCTCCTTCGGGGCCTGCAGCAAGCTGTGGAAGAGCTTCATCCGCCAGTGCGTGGAGCACCGCAGCGTCTGCCCCGAGGGCCTGTCCCTGGAGCACATCGAGCAGGCTGTGGTCCAGCGGCAGCGCTGGGCCCGCTACCAGCAGCCCACGGCCCCCCCGGCAGAGAGATCGGTGGCAGCGGTGGCCGGGGGCACCGTCCCAGAGGAGGGGGCCGCAGGGGCCCCAGCCCCAGGGCACGCGGCCCTGGCTGAGGCCGAGGAGGGTACCTTCCCGGCCAGGACTTTCGTGGTTGGGGACACAGCGTCAGGGGGCTGCCCAGCAGGTGGAGACAGCGCGTCAGCAGGGAACCCGGCCCACGTGGTGGCCAGGCCAGCGGCCACAGACAGGGAGGACGCCGAGGACGATGCTGAGGACGCTGAGGACTCCGAGTCCGACTTCTGGTCCTCCGACGGGGAGCTCAACGCCGACGACGCCATCCTGCAGGAGCTGCTGGACGAGAGCCGGAACGTGTCGGTGACCGTGCGGGAGGACGGGCTGCTGGACACGGTGGCCAGGCCTGCGTCCCCACAGCGGTCCCGGCAGTACGTGAACCTGCCACGGGACGTGCTGCGGCAGCTGCTGCGCCAGGAGCCCGAGCTGCACCACAGGTGCACCTTCGTGCCGGAGACCTTCGAGCGGGCAACCGCGATGCCGCTGGAGGACACGGGGCCCGGCCCCATCCAGCTCCGCGGCCGCCTGCACTGTGGGATGGCCTTCAGTGGTGACGAGGTGCTGGTGAAGGTCCTCGGCCGGGAGCGGGGCCCGGCCGGGCGGCCGCAGGGCCGCGTGCTGGGCGTGCTGAAGAGGCGGCGTCACGAACTGACGTTCGTGTGCCGCATGGACGAGTGGGACCCGCGCATCATGACCCCCATCGACGGCTCTGTGACCAAGATCTTCGTGGCCGACCTGAAGGACCCGCTGCAGGTGCCTGTCCACCGCCTCCTGCAGGGCCGTGTGCAGCGGGTGGGGTTCGAGCCGCTCACAGCCCAGGCCCGGCGGCACCGGCTCTTCTGGGTGCGCATCGTGGCCTGGCGAGAGCGCTTCTACTACCCGCTGGGCATCGTGTTGGAGGTGCTGCCCGAGGCCACCACCTGGGAGCAGGGCCTCAGCATCCTGGACCTGGAATATGGCCTCAAGGAGCCCTCGCCAGACCCAGCCGTGGTCTCCAAGGCCCTGCAGAGGTACAGCGCTGAGCTCGCTCGGGCGCCAGGCTCCCGTGAGGACTGCCGCAGCTTCCTGACCTTCACTGTGGACCCCCAGGGAGCCTGCAACCTGGACGACGCCCTCAGTGTGCAGGACCTGGGCTCCAGGTACGAGGTGGCTGTGCACATCACCGACGTGGCCAGCTTCGTGCCCAGGGACACTCCGCTGGACGTGGAGGCCCGCAGACAGGGCATCGCCTTCTATGCCCCCAACCGGGTTCCGACGCCCATGCTGCCCGCCGACCTGTGCCAGGACATGCTCAGCCTCCTCCCGGGCCAGGACCGCTTTGCCATCTCTCTCTTCCTCACCTTCGAGAAGGGCAGCGACCAGCTTAAGAGCCTGCGCTTCGCACCTTCGGTGATCTGCTCCGACCGCCAGCTGTCCTACGAGGAGGCCGAGCAGGTGCTCCGGGCGCAGCAGGGGGCCGGCCGGGAGCTGCCCGCCCGCCTGGACTCCGTGGAGGCCTGCGTCCTGGTGGCGTGCCACTTCTCCCGGGCGCTGCGCCAGCGCCGTCTGGAGGCCTCCTGCCACTATGAGCAGCTGGACGAGGACAGCACACTGGGCTTCCGGACGGCCCACACCATGGTCAAAGAGTACATGATCCAGTTCAACAGCCGGGTGGCCGAGTTCCTGGTGGGCTGTGAGCACACCCGGACGGTCACGCCGCTGCGGTGCCAGCCAACGCCCAGCGGCCCCCAGCTCGAAGCGGTGAGCGAGAAGCACGGAGAGGTGGTGCCGCTGTCCCTTCACCTGAGACACCACCTGCGGGGCCACAGCACGCCCGGCGCACAGCTCCACCTGCTGGCTGCCCTCTGGAGGCACGTCCTGCTGGCCGCCCACACCCAGGACGTCGACCTGCTGGTAGACCTCATCACCACGGACGACATGCACCCCTCACTGGCTGCTGCAGGCCTGGACTTCCGCAAGGCCCTGGGCCGCTCTGCGTTTGGCCGCTCCAGCCAGGGTGAGCAGAACCCAACCGGCCACTACTCGCTGCAGGTGGAGTGGTACACCTGGGCCACCTCGCCCATCCGCAGGTACCTGGACGTGGTTCTGCAGCGGCAGATCCTTCTGGCCCTAGGCCAGGGGGGCTCCACCTACTCCGCCAGGGACATCAACAGGCTCTGCCAGGACTTCAGCCGCCAGCACGCCCGTGCTCAGAGCTATCAGCGCCGGGCCTACAGCCTGCACCTGGCCACTCGGCTCAAGGCCCAGCCGTGCCAGAAGCTGGGCTTCGTGCTGGAGGTGGAGCCGGGCGCCCGCTGCTTCAGACTGCTCTTCCCAGTGAACCGGGAGACCCTGCCCGACCCCTGCCCCGTCTACTACCGCGCGCTGCAGCTGGCCGAGCACCCCAGCAACCTGGAGAGCCGGCCGGGCCTGCGGCTCAAGTGGCGCCGCCGTGTGTACTCGGTGCGGGACAGGCCGTGCGCCCCACTGCCCGGCGCCCTGCTGGACCCGCACACCTGGCCCGTGGACTCCGCCCTGTGGCAGCAGCTGCTGGAGTTGGTGGAGGAGCAGCGGTGGCCGGAGGCGGCCGCCCTTGTGCGGCAGCAGGACACCGAGAAGCTGCCGCAGCGGGCGCTGGGCCAGGTGGCACACAGCCGCTGCGGCCACTTCGTGGAGGCGGCCCGGGAGCTGAGCAGCGGGGACACGCTGCAGGTGCAGCTCAGCGCCACGCTGCAGCGGGGGGTCCTGGCGCCCTTCCTGCAGCTGTGGGTCGTGGCTCCCGGCCTCAGCCTGTGCCTGGAGCACGTGGAGCGGCCAGGCGACTGCTTCTCAGGCCACGTGCCCCGGGCCGGGCGGGACCAGTGCCGCAGCCTGGAGGACTACTGCCGCGTGTGGGAGCCCTTCTGCTCCCTGGAGTCGGCCACCAGCGCGGTGGCCGAGAGCGACGCCGTCACCCTGCAGCAGGTGCACGTAGCCTGGGACGCGGAGCGGCCGGAGCAGGGGCCGCTGCAGGGCAGATTCTGCCTGGACGCTGCCTTCCTGCGGGAGCACAGCATTGACATCGGCTTCGGCCAGTGCTACCTCTGCATCCGGCTCGAGGGGCTTCGGGCCGCACCCCCCGCCGTCCCGCTGCACGAGCCGGGCAGTCTGGTCCCTGCCCTGAGCATCGACCCCGACACCTACACCTGGGTGGCCCACGGGCTGACGGAGGACCCCAATGCAGACGGCCAGGCCGACCAGCAGGAGGCCACCAGGCAGGTGCGCTTCTTCGTCCACCACATGGCCATGGAGAAGGTTCCGGAAGAGGTGCTGCGGCCCGGCACCCTGTTCACCGTCGAGGTGCTACCGAAGCAGCTTCCTGACCTGTGAGTGGCCTCTCCAGGGCCCGAGGCCAGCGAGAGGCTGGGGGCGGGAGGGGGTAAAGCTCCTCAGGTTCCCTCTCCTGGGAGGGGGTGGTCTGGAGCCGCAGCCCCTCCCCAGAGCCCTGTTGAAGTTCCTGTGTCCATCTCCACCCCACATGCCCCCAGCCGCAAGGAGGAAGCTGTGCGCAGGCTGAAGGACGCATCCCAGCTGGTCATCAGCATCGCCCTGGGCCACCCCATCCCCCTGCCCCGCCCCCCTCCCCACCACCTTCCTGGCCGCCACCCTCCCCACCACCTTCCTGGCCGCCACCCTCCCCACCACCTTCCTGGCCGGCAGCCCCTCCGCAGAGGTAGGTGGGGGCCTCCAGCCTTCCTGAGCCCCTCCCCGCCGGCTCCTCCTGTGCCCCCGCTCAGGGCGCCTGGCTCTCTCCTCAGGGACCCCCAGCAGGTTCCTGGGGCAGCAGACCTTTGACATCCCTAGAGGCCGACACCAGCTGAACCCCAGCCAGAACGGGGCGGTCAGAGAGGCCCTGCAGAAGCCGTTCACCGTGATTCAGGGCCCGCCAGGTGGGGCCGCGTCCAGGGGCGGAGGGGGCGGCAGGCGGCCGTGGCTCGGCTCACCCGCTCTCCGCCCGCAGGCACGGGGAAGACGGTGGTGGGCTTCCACATCGTCTTCTGGTTCCACAAGTCAAACCAGGAGCTCGCGCCAGCCTGCGGCACCCCCGCCGGGAAGGAGCAGCTGGGGGGCCCCTGCATCTTGTACTGTGGCCCCTCCAACAAGTCGGTGGACGTGCTGGCAGGTGCGCTGGGCCCGCCGTGCGGGGGCGGTGCCTGGGTGCCGGGCCCGGGGACCCTCCTCATGCCCTGACTCCCCAGGAATGCTCCTGAGCTGGAAAGCCGAGCTGAAGCCCCTGCGCGTGTACGGGGAGCAGGCGGAGGCCACCGAGTTCCCGATGCCGGGTGTGAGCAGCAGAGGCCCGAGCAGGAGGAGCTCCCGGGAGGGGAGGCCCAATCAGACCCTCAGGTGCAGCCCCTCAGCTCTCCGTCTGTCTGCGTGTGGGTGGGAGTGAGGCCCGAACCGTCCGATGGTGCCTCCTTGGGCCACACAGGGCTTCACGGAGGTCTCCCCACAGGGCCATCACCCTGCACCACCGGATCCGGCAGCCCTCCAACCCCTTCGCGCCCAGCATCAAGGCCTTTGACGCCCGGCTGCAGAAAGGGGAGATTTTCTCTGAGGAGGATCTCGCCAAGTAAGTGGCTGGAACCTTGGGGCTGCCTCCCGGGCGGGGCCCCGGGGTGACCGAGGCATCTGCGCCCAGGTACAGGAAGGTGCTGGGGAAGGCACGGAAGTTCGAGCTGGACCGCCACAGGGTCATCCTGTGCACCTGCTCGTGCGCGGCCTCGGCCAGCCTCAAGAGCCTGGACGTCCGGCAGATCCTGGTGGACGAGGCGGGCATGGCCACGGAGCCCGAGACCCTCATCCCCCTCGTGAACTTCTGTCGGGCCGAGAAGGTGAGGCGGGTGGTGAGCTGGGCGCCTCCGGCAGCGAGGGGAACGCGCCGGGGGCAGGTCCGCGGTGGGGGGCAGAGGCCTCGGGGCTGGGTGCCAGGACCATGCCCGCCGGGCCTTCCAGGTGGTGCTTCTTGGGGACCACAAGCAGCTGCGGCCTGTGGTCAAGAACGAGCAGCTGCAAAACTTGGGGCTGGACCGGTCGCTCTTCGAGAGGTACCGCAGAGACGCCCACATGCTGGACACGCAGTACCGCATGGTGAGCCGGCCCCCGCCCCACGCTGGCCTCTCCCCGGGACCCCGCGGCGGGTGGCACGGTCCCTGGCTCACGCTCTCCCTGCAGCACGAGGGCATCTGCAGCTTCCCGTCCATGGAGTTCTACCAGGAGAGGCTGAAGACCTGGCAGGGCCTGCGGCGGCCACCCAGCGTCCTGGGCCATGCCGGCAGGGAGAGCTGCCCTGTCATCTTTGGCCACGTGCAGGGCCATGAGCAGAGCCTGCTGGTGTCCACAGATGAGGGGAACGAGAACTCCAAGGCCAACCTGGAGGAGGTGAAACATGTGGTGAGTGTCCAGTGGTGTCTCTTAGACAAGGAGGGCTTCCTGGAGGGGGAGGCGGCGATGCCGAGGGAACAAGCGAGGCCCCAGTGCCCAGGTTCGGGGAGGCACCAGCCGGTCTCCCCAGCACCCCCTCGGTCCCTCAGGTTCGCATCGCCAAACAGCTGACCCTGGACAGGACAGTGGACCCCAAGGACATCGCCATCCTCACGCCCTACAACGCACAGGCTGCGGAGATCAGCAAGGGCCTGGCGCAGCGGGGTGTCACGGGAGTGACGGTGTGCTCCATCACCAAGAGCCAGGGTGAGGCTGGAAGCGGGCTCTGGGAGGGCTTCCGGGGCCTCTGGCCGGGAGGGTGGCCTGACGGTGCCTGGTCCTAGGGAGCGAGTGGCGCTATGTGCTGGTGAGCACCGTGCGGTCCTGCCCTGAGAGCGACCTGGACCAGCGGCCAACCAAGAGCTGGCTGAAGAGGTTCCTGGGCTTTGTTGTGGACCCCAACCAAGTGAATGTAGCCCTCACCCGGGCCCAGGAGGGGCTCTGCCTTGTTGGTGAGGGCTGCTGGGGCAGGCGCTGGGCGTGGCTGGGGCAGGCGGCTGGGCGTGGCTGGGGCAGGTGCTGGGTGTGGCTGTGACCGGGTGTGGCTGGGGCAGTTGCTGGGTGTGGCTGGGGCAGGCAGCTGGGCGTGGCTGGGGCAGGTGCTGGGCGTGGCTGGGGCAGTTGCTGGGTGTGGCTGGGGCAGGTGCTGGGTGTGGCTGGGGCAGTTGCTGGGTGTGGCTGGGGCAGGCGGCTGGGCGTGGCTGGGGTAGGCGGCTGGGCGTGGCTGTACCCGGGTGGGCAGCCCCTGCACCCTGGGGCCGCCTGACTCCCTGTCTTGTAGGAGACCACCACCTGCTGCGATGCTGCCCCCTGTGGTGCCGGCTCCTGGACTTCTGCGAGGCCCAGCGGAGCCTGGTGCCTGCCGAGCAGGTGCAGGTCCAGCGGAGGCCGGCCGTGTTTCCCTGAAGAGCCCACCTCAGCCACGCACTGCCCTCAGCTGCCAGGACAAACCCCGCTCAGCGGAATCCCATGTGCCTTCAGAGCCACTGCCCGCCACCCACACCCAGCTGCCTGGGTCTCAGAGGTTGGCCATGCCCATTCCGCACCTCCTGGAGTCGTGGCTTGTCCCCGGTGGGGAGCACGGTGGGAGGAAGGAGGGTCGATGCCCATCCTCCCTGTGGTGACAGGAGCATCTCAGGGGTGGGCGTGGGACCCCAGACTGACATGATACTTGGTGTCTCACTGGGAAGGTTCGGGGTCAGGAAGGAAACCCCAGCTCTTTGGTCTGTGGATGTCACCCCAGCCACTCTGGGTGCTGGCCGTGAAGCTCAGCTTTATTTTTAATTTTTAAAAAGACCAAAAGCAGAGCAGGGTCCTCAGCCCGAACCCCGTGTACCTCAGCCCCGTGTCCCTCAAGGGCCACCTCTCTTCGACCTCCCGCCCGGAGCAGTGGGGTCTGCGGTGCTCCCGAGGGCTGCTGGGGGGCTGCCATCCCCGTGGCCCCGATGGGCTCTGTGTGCTCCAGCCAGAGCCCCGCCCCCCCTTGGCCCGGGCCTCGGGACCTCGGGCACTTGCATCCTGCATTCTCTGGAAGCCCCTCCCCTCCCCAGCTGCCCAGCCCAGCCCACCCCCAAGCGAGGCGTCTCTGACCCTGGGTCTCAGTGCAATTTCCTGTGGTCCCCGCGGGCTGGGGGACAATGCACAGCATTGTTTACAGCAGGAGGGACCCCCGTGGCCTCGCCGCGGGGCCCGGGGAATGTGTCTGTGTGTCTGTTTTCTACAAATCCAATTTCTACATTCCAATTTTGTATCTTTTCTTAGACTCTATGATTGCACATTAATTTTATTATAAAGACCATTCTACTTTCTCTCCTCTGGGTTTCGAGGCCTGTGTGGGGGACAAAGGGTGGCCCGTCCTCCTGCGTCGGGTCGCAGTGTTGTTGAGGCTGCCAGTCCTGTGGTGGCGGATGCTCAGTGGGGAGCCGGTGGCGGGCACTGTCCCTGCCGGACAGCCCAGGACACCGTTCCGGCTGCCAGGACAGAGGCTGAAGGCCAGCTGGGGGGAGGGCATAGCCCGTGAACAGTGTCCGGGTGTTGCAGGCTTGCCCAGCCCTCTGAACTCTGACCTTAGGCTGTTTCGGCCCCAAAGTCTAAGTCCAAAGTCCTCAAGGCTCCCAGTGGGTCCTGTGCCGCCCGGGCCACTCATTCCGCTGGTGTGGCTGAGCCCCACCCCACCCACCCCTGGCGCAGCCACACAGAGGGAGGCGTGGCTGGGCCTGGCCTCCCTGAGGTCAGAGATGCCGAGACATCCAGACGTGGAGGGGAGGACGGTCCCGCCTGTCCTGCGTGCTCCCTGGGAAGCCCCAGGGAGGAGGGGCCCTACCTGGGAGCAGCCTGCTCTGCGGCAGCCGGAGTGTCGAGAAACTTGGTATCTGGTGGAAAGCACTTGTGTGGACGATGAGCAGGCGTCTGAGGCTGGGAGTTGAGACCTCACTGGCCTGGGGTCAGGGAGGGCTTCCCAGAGGAAGGGGCGCGGTGGCCCCAAGTGCACAGCAGGCTGAACGGGGGAGGGGAGGGCAGATCCAGGGGTGGGGCTGAGCTGGAGGCGGGGTGGACACAGGCCAGCATCTTGGCCTCGAGCGTTGTCCCCGAAGGGCACCGCCGGGCCTTGGGCAGCCGCCTCTCTGGGTGAGGGCACGAGGCCTGAGGCCAGGCTGCCGGCAGGCGCCCCCAGGAAGAGGAAGCCCCCCGCATGCCCTGTGGGCCTCTGGGTGGACCTCACTCCAGCCTGTCCCCCTCCCAGACTGGTATGACCCAGCATCAACCCCAACCCTGGCCCCTGGCCCCCTCCTGTCCCCTCCTCCCCCAATTCTGAGGGGCCTGGGCCCTCGGACCCCTGCAGGACGCCCAGGAGAGGTCGCCCTGTCGCCACTTGCTGTCACGGGGAGAGGGGCAGGCGGCTTGACTCCGGAGGGCATGCTGGGGCTCACAGTGGGACAGCTTGGACAGGAGGACCCCGGGCTGAGTCCCACCTGTCCATCACCACCCACCTGTCCAAGCTGGAGGGAGGTGCTGGGGACCCCTTCATCACACTTCTCCGTCGGGGGGGGGCGCTGTTTCGGATCACCATCCCTGGACACTGTCAGGGGCCTGGTGTCCTAGCAACCACGCGGTCACCTGTGCTGAGAGTCCTCGGCCAGGTGCCCAGCGCTGTCCTTCCCGGGAGCGGAGTCCACCACTGTCCACATCACCTTCATCCAGAAGTCGTGTGCACGGGTGGGGGCCCTGCTGGCCGCCCTGGGGGTCACATGACTCCCAAGGCAGCGTCAAGGGGGTAGTCACCCACACGGAGCTGGACACCAGGTTGGTGGGGAGGGGCGTGTGCTGGAGGGAGGGCTACCCCCCCAAGCAGTAGCCATATGCTGGCCTGTGTCTTGGGACCCTCACCCCCCTCAGGATGGGGGTGCCGATGAACTTCAGCTTCATTTGGGGAAAAGATAAGACGTTTATTGTCATTTTTAAAAGAAACTGTTCTCCGATCCCAATAAAGCTGGGGGCGAGAGAGTGGGCCGGACCTGGGGGTGTCGCCTCCTCTTCGGGAACCCGGCCTAGGAGGGAGGCAAGGCGGCCAGAGCCTGTGCTGAGGTCACGTGGCTGGTTATTGTGACAGGGATGGGCCGGGGCCGAAGTGGCCAAGGCCCCGGAGCGGCGGTCCTGGAGGCCAGGTGCCAGGGCCCACGCGTCTCGCTCCAGGGGTCCGCCGTCCTGGGAGGTCCAGCCTGCCTCCCCCGAAAACGGAGCAGGAGCTGCAGGGGCCTGGGGCTCGTGGGCGGGCTGGGCGGAGTCAGGAAACACACTCGAGGCTGCTGCCGCCCTGAGAACATAAGCAGGTTTGCTCCCTTACTGTGTGTGTGTGTTTATACTCCTCTTTATTAGTGGATAAATATTAAAAATCATCTCTCGGAAGCTGCGGTCAGGGGCGGCCTGGCTTGCCTAGCCGACTGGGGGTGGGCCCTTCAGGGGGTCCGGGCCTGGTCTGCAGGGTGAGGCTGTCCCGCCAGGACTCGTACACCAGCGTGTAGCTCTCCGCCCTCTTGACGGTGAACTTGTAGACACGGTTGGGCAGCAGGTTGTGGACGTCAAAGGTGCAGGCGGCCACGGGGATGATGCCACGCTGCAGGTACTCCTGCTGTGTCCTAGGGTCCAGCAGCTTGAAGCGCAGCTCGAACTGTTCGGGCACCCCCGGCTGGGTGGTGACAAACCAGCGCAGGGCGACCCAGTCCTGGTGGGCCACTGACTCCTTGCGGTCGAACATGACGGGCATCTTGGTGCTGAGCATGAGCCGGATGTGCGGGATCTTGGTGGCGCCCACGTCGGACACCAGGCGGTGCTTGATGTGCAGCCGGCCCGGCACCATCATGGCCAGGAAGTTGTCCATGACGGCCGACAGGTCCGCCAGCCGCTGCTCCACCAGCGCCCAGCCCGCCAGGAAGGGCCGCGGGTCGGGCGACTCCAGCAGGGAGTCCAGCTGGGCGCGGCCTTGGTCCAGCTGCTCCAGCAGGTGCCCGAGCAGCAGGAGCTGGATCTTGGTCTGTGCGGTGCCCACCTTCTTCATGCGCTGGAACTTCCAGGGGTCGACGAGCTGGAACATGGTGCTGGGCAGCACCAGCGGGTTCTGGTCGCCCAGGGCCAGGTGCTTGGGGAGGATCTCGATGTGGTAGGAGCATTTCCTGAGCAGCTCCACGCGGGCGTGGTGGCGCTTCAGCAGGTGGGGGCTCAGGTCGGAGGTCAGGAACTCGCGCAGCGCATTGCGGCGGGCGGTGTAGGTCCTCCAAGCCTCTGGCTCCAGCAGCTGCCGGCCCTCAGCCTCCTCCACCTCCTCCAGGTCCAGGAAGGACTGGGGACTGTCCAGCTTCATCTTGTCCAGGCCCAGGCCTGTCACCTGGAAGCTCATTGTCTGGGGGGGGGGGTGGACGGTGCAGTGTGAGCAGGAATAGTCAGGCTGGCCTCTGCTGCCCACCCGGGGCTCCCTCGGGGCAGTGTTTCTGTGGGGGGTGCTTTCAGGCCTATTGTCCCCCCCCCCCCACCGGGCCCTCGATCTTTCCTGGAAGGACCTTGTGGGGAGCACCTTGCTCTGGAAGAGGCTGCCCGGAGGACCTGGTGGGCAGTCTGCGGAGTCGTTAGAAGTAGGCATTTAGGGGCAAATGCTACGGATGGTTGTGAGGGTGCAGGGCAGGGCCGAAACCAGAGCTGGGCTCTGGGGCCAGAATGACTTGAGCAGAAACCCCAGCCACTGACCAGCTGTGTGGCCTGAGAGAGGCAGTGGTACTCCCTGGGGCCACTGGGAGGACTCAGCGTGACCCTGTCTGAGCAGCACTGGACGCCCCTGCACTGCAAACCTGCACCCACCACCGGTGCACCGCAGAGGGCCAAGCTCACCCCACGACAGTCCCGTGGGCGACCAGGGCCGCTGGCCTCAGCTCTGAGGAATAGCAGTGCTTGCGCCCCTGCTGTGCCTGGGGCCCGAGCGCATGGCTGAGCTCACTGACCACCGGAAAGCCCCAAGGCCAAACTGGTTTGCAGCACGCTGTCCATCCAGGGTTTGAGACCAGCCATCGATCCCCCGTGCCTGAAACTCCTTCCGCGCCACAGTGCGCCCCCGGTTTCCAGCTCTGGGTGTCAGTGCACCCCACACCCCACAGCTGGAGGCAGCGTGGGGCAGGCCCCAAGTCCACAAGGACTGTCTGTCTCTGCAAGTGGGGACCCTCTGGAGAAGGAGCCAGCATCCTTGGCTGTTGTCCCAGGTCCCAGCCACCCCCAAGGTCTCAGGGCTTCACCTGGGGAAGCTCAGGTTGTCCCAGCAGCCTAAGGGTTGGGTGAGTTACAGGGAGATCCGACAGATGGAGCCCAGGAAACCAGCCCTAAGGGGTAAGGTTGGGGCCGCTGCCTCCCTCTCCAAAGGTCTGTCCTTGACCTTCGGGGCAGAGGAGCTGGGTCAGGCCCCAGGCACAACAGAGGGAGGATGCTGGGTGACCACCAGCTGAGACCAGGATCCCAAGACTTAGGGCCTAAGTCCTGCTCTGGCCTCTGGAGGGAAGTCTTGTCCCTGGATCTGGCGACGGGTCAAGGAGGCTCCCAGGTGGAAAACCACAGACCGGCGGGTGTGAACTCCGGGGAGGGGGCTCCCGGAGCCCGGGCCACCTACGCAGAGGCCCCGCCTTCTCCACCGCCACACACCCCTCGCCCTCAGGCCCGCCTCCCAGGACCTACCCCCGCCTCGGCCGCCTCCCGCCTCCCCTGCACCCGCCCCCCACCGCCCACGGGCCCTCACCGGCCTCCCCGCGCGCGCCCACTCGCCCTGCCTCCCGGAGCGCGGAGCCGAGCGGCGGGCTGTGCGCAGAGCCAGGGCGTCCAGCTGCGCGCCGCCGGCATCCAGCGGGTTGCCATGGGGATCGCGGGCCTTTGTGACGCCCCGCTGCGCCCTGGAGTGGGGGCGGGGTGGGGCGGGAGCCCTGGGAGTGGGCGGGGCGGATCCTGCCCCGTCGCCCCGACTTGACCTTGACTAGAGGGGCTGAAGGCGGGTCGCGCCGGGCGCGCTCTGCGGCCCCAGGACCCCGATGGCAGGAACCTGGTCCCAGCCGGGCCCTCAGCCCTGGGCTCCGCCGCCCGGGTCTCGGCTTGGAGGGGCTGGTCCCTGGGCCCACCTGGGAGCCGCTGCGGGCGGTCTGAAAGCCCGGCTCGCAGCAGGGTCCCGGCAGAGGGAACAGGCCGGGCCTGGGTTCTGATCGGCCCGAGTCGTCTTTCGGCCACAGCGCTCCATGGCTGCCTTCTGTGCGGGGGCTGCAGCTTGTGGGTTATTTTGAGGGGGGCACCTGCTCCGTCCCTGGCTGAGTGCCACCCTGGGAACCCTCCGTGGAGCTGCCATGAGGCAGGGACCGTGTGAACTAGTAAGCAGACCGCAGGCCTTCTCCCAGGCTGCTGCCCGGGTCCAGACAGATGGGGTCTCCCAGCTCCAGGCAGCCCCTCGGTGTTCTCAGCCTCTGGAGACCCACCTGTAATAGCCAAGTGGGCTCAGGACCCTGGAACCTCTCAGCCAGCCTGGGTCTCCCACCTGCAGTGGTCAGTCTGACACCCCGAGGCACCCCCTTGCCCACCTTGGGGAGGACTGAGGAGGCAGGGATGCCCTGTGCCGTTCCTGTCTGCTCCCCGGAGGTCAGCGGTGGGCCCCTTCCAGGATAGGGTGTCTGTCCCCGAGTCCTCTCCCAGCCTGTTCTGTGGCCAGAGCCTCTCCACTGCACCCCCATCCTTCTGGGTGACCCCATCTGGCTAGCTGCCCATCAGCCATCCTCAGATCAGGCCTGGGCAGAGGTCCCAGGAGGTCCGCATGGGGAGTTGCCCTGGGGCCCGGTCTGCCCTGGGCCCTAACTCAGCAGTGAGAGCTGTTGTTATTTAGGGGTCTGAGGAGCAAGGGCTTGGAAAGGGGGGTGCCATCTGAAGGTTGAGGGAGAAGAAGACCCCCCTAGCTCACCTGAACCCATTGCCTGTTTCTTGTGGAAAGTCTAGGTAAGACCTTAGCAGGGTAGGGACTGTCACCCAGAGGCAGGACCCCAGCCCCCAGGGACCCCACACCACCTCTCCCAGCCTCGCCCACTCCCGTACCCCCTTAACCCCAGGTGGCCACTAGTCTCCGCGGAGAACCTTGTGTACGGAGAGCCCGGCAGCGTGGACCTTGGGGATCGGACTCCCTCTCGGCCCAGTTCCTGTCCCGCAGGCTGTGTGCAGCCCGGTGGTCCTTGCTCTTCCTCTCGGAGGTGTTTGAAGGCCCGGCCCAGGGCCCGACTGTTTCCATCTCGCCCAGCTCGGCAGCCACCAGGCTGTGCTGCCCCTGCAGAGCGACCCTGGAGCCTGAGGGCGGGGAGCCTGGTCACAGCCCTGGGGGAGGGGAATGCCCCTGCGCAGGACACCCCACCCTGTGCCCTGCACACACCGGGCTCCAGCCTCAGGCCGAAGCCGGGGAGCTGCCTGCTCACCCCAGCAGACCTGGTCTGAGTCCTCACCACGGCTCACGGATGGGGAAATCAAGGCACAGAGAGGTCAGCACCTGGCCTCAGAGTAGGATGTGGTCCTGCCATCTGACCACATCCAGGGCTGTGGGGCCTGTCTCCCCAGGGCAGACACAGGGTAGGGAGGCCTCTGGGGTCCCGGGGCTGCTCTGCTGGGCCCAGCTGGCCTGTGGGTACTCCCTGCAGAGCCTGCGGACCTGGACAGATTCGGAGCAGCCGCTCCCGGGGCAGGGGCTGTGTTCGGACACTCCGTCCTCATCACTGGGAGACACTGAGCAGGTCCAGGGTTCTTGGCAGCTGGGAGGGGTCCCCAGTTCCCGGCACAGGTTCCTGCTAGAAGCGTCTCTGCTCTGACCTTGAGGGATGGACAGGCCTGGTCTCCTCTCCTGTAGGAGGAGGACCTCAGCCCACCATGGGGGTCTTTGTCTGGGCTTGTTGGGGGGCTGGCAGCAGGCCTGGGGACCCGGAGTGGGGGCTAGCTCAGAGGGCCTTCCCTCCCTGCCTGCCCTGGCGCCCCAGAGGCCCTCCAGCTCTGGGGAGCAGGGAGTCTCCTGGAGGAATGTGTCGCGTTCCCGGGACTTGACCCCGGGTGTGGTCAGCACAGTGGGGCCCTCCCTTCCTTGAGGAGGACCTGCTGGGCCAGAGGTGTGGCTTCCTGGGGGGAGGAGCTGTGTAACCCAGTCCACAGAAACCCATCCTCAGAAAGGCAGACTTGCCTTCAGGGGAGCAGGCCGTGGGTGGGACTGTGAGTTCTTCCCGTCCCCCCCCAACTCTGTTTGTCAATGTCTCTCCCCCACACACAGGACGGGCCTCAGCTGCACAGAGCTGCTCCCCGGGCCCCTGTCCCCCAGTTCACTGTGTGGCTGTCACACCAGTTTGTAGACTGCACAGCTGCCCCCAGGTGTGTGGTGGGGAGCCCCCAGGTGTGTGGTGGGGAGCCCCCAGGTACATTCACAGACAAGGGTCTGCTGCCTCTGGGGCCAGTTGGCGGATGACTGTCACGCTTGTTTGTTCGGCCCTTTCACCAGGAAAAGCGAACCTTTGGGTGTGGATAGGGTTTGGGGTGTGGAAGGACAGTTTGCAGCCATCAGAGGAGATGTGACCTCATTAATGACACCCTGGTGAGGGCAGACACACACTGGGAGAAAGGCAACCACCTGGCAGGAATCCCCCACCAGGACCCCATCAGGACCGGCTGGCCAGGCCTTGCTCTCCCCACCAACCCAGAAGCACAGGCCACCTGGGCAGGGCCAGTTTGCTGCAGTCTGCAGGGGTGCTGGCCCTGTGCCAGACTTATCCCACACCCCTTTATGCCACAGGCACTGGGTTCATATCCTCAGCACCACCCACACCTGCCTGGGCCTGGGGGAGGGGCAGAGGGGAGGAGGGGAGGGGCTGTCTCCCCTCAAGGCTTCCCCCAAGACCCCACCCAGGCCCCACCCCCAGGCTGGTGGAGGGAGGGCTCCTGCCCCAGCCACAGTAGCTCTGAGCACTGGAGGACAAGTCCTGCCCACCGGATACCCTAGGGGTCGAGGAGCAGCTGTCGTGTGACCCAGGGGCTAGAGGGCCACCCCGCCCCCCACCCGGTCTGAATGCCAGCCTGGAGGCAGGCAGGGGGTTGTGCATGCCTGTCCCAGCTCGTGGGGCTTGGGGGGCGCCTGCAGTGACCTGCCGCCCCACACTTCCCACCGACTGGGACGCACACGCAGCGAGGCTCCGAGGCTCCGAGACTCTGACACTTGCCGTCCCACCGGCCCTTCCACTTTCTCCCCCTTCAGAAGTCCCTCCTCTGCTGGGCCCCGCGTGCGGCGTGGGCACCAGGCTCGGCACCGTGGAGCATGGAGCCCTTCCTCAGGAAGCGACTGGCCTTCCTGTCCTTCTTCTGGGACAAGATCTGGCCGGCGGGCGCCCAGGACCACAGCACCCCCTGCTTCCCGGGCCCTGCCGCCCACAGCGAGCTGGAGATCCCCGCCTCTGCCTTCTGCAGCGCCCCGGCGCCCGGGCAGCTCTTCAGGGCGGTGGACGACTTCACAGCTCGCTGTGCGGATGAGCTGAGCGTCCGCCGCGGGGACAGGCTCTACGCCCTCAGGGAGGAGGACGACTGCATCTTTGCCCGAAGGCTCTCTGGTCGGCCCAGCGTGGGGCTGGTGCCCATCGCCTACGTGGCCAAGGCCGCCCCTGAGATGCTCTCAGACCAGCCGTGAGTACTGCCTGCTCTGAGTCAGGAATGCGTGAGCCTGGGGCCGTCCAGGACCCCTGTGGGGTCGTTCACGCACTCAGCAGCCGGGCTCCCCCAGGCTCTGCCACAGGGGTGAGCACGGACCCTGGGGCCTGGGCAGCGGTGACGGTGCTGGTCAGGTCATGGGACGACCCGTACACCTGCCTTGGCAGGTCACGCTGGGACTCGGCCCTGGACGGGGCTCTCGGAGGCTCCGGTTCCACAAGGTGGGCTGAGTGGTCACTGCGTGGACAGCAAGGGGCAAGGGAGACATAACAGCCCTGTCCTCCCGGAGCTCCCAGTGAGGCCATCAGATGTCCCCTTGTGCCTGAGGGGAAGTAGTAAGGTGGTGACTGGGGGTGAAGGCTCATAGCGGGGTCAGCTCTTCTCATCCGTCCTCATCCAACCAGCCCCCCACCCACACTGGGCCAGGTATGGGGCAGACCCAACTCTGGCCTTTGGGCTTGCTCCAAGAGAGGCTTGTCTGGGGAGTGGACAGGTAGGGGGAGCCCAGTGAGTGTCCCGAGTACCCGAGGTGCTGAGGGCAGGGGGTCTCCAGTGGGACATAGCCGCCCTGCTACCTGGCAGTCTGCATGCCAGCTCGTCATCACGGAAGGAAGAAGGCAGAGCGCGGGGGGTTCCAGGTGGGCTCCTCGGAGGAGGTGACCTCTCAGCTCAAGCTCCAGGTCCTTAGGGGAGGGGAGTGTCCTGGCACAGCTATGTGCCCACTCCGGCAGTGGACATGGTCCACGGGCCTCAAGCATTTCACCCGGAGCCTGGACATGCCCCTGACCGGTGTTTCCCCTGAACGCGGCTGGCTGTGTCATTGTGGTCTCCGGTATCTAGATGGACGGGGCATCGCCGAGGGGCCGAGGGGGTCTGTGTGCATGGAGGTGGTGAGCTGAGTGAGACCAAGCCAGGCGCTGGCTGGTGAGCGGGCAGCTAAGGTGGGCTCTGCTGCCCTGCCCGCTGCGCAGACCTCCGCCTGACGTGGCCCCGGTGCTGCGCCCAGCGGGCCAGGCCTGAGCCCTGGACGTGTCCTTGTGGACCAGCACTGGCCACTGCCAGCCTTCTGGGGGTTCACAGGTTGGGGGGAAGCCTGAGTCTGAGGAAGGTGCCCTCTGGCTCCCACCCACCCCGAGGGGGAGGGGTCCACTGTCCCTCCAGGTGTGGAGGGCAAAGCCGGAACTGCCCTGGAACGGGCTGGCGGGGCTGGGGGAGGGAGGGGCTGCCAAGAGGCAGAGCTAATGACTGCCTGGGCTGGAGATGAAAGGGCTGACCACACTCACAGGGTCATTAGCCCCAGACACCTGTCCCTGGGCCAGACCGGCTGGGTGGGCAGGTCCCTCAACCCCCACGGTGAGGCCTCCTTGCTCGAATGCTGCTGAGGCTGGGCTGCCTCTTATCTCGCCCACAGCCCCTCACCCCGCCGCCCAGGGAGGGACCGGAGAGCATCCTTGCGGGGCCTCATCCCCCTGGGCCCTGGGCGGCAGGGTGGCTCTGCTGTCCTGAGAAGGCCCTCTGGCCCCTCCACACCGGAGACGTTCCCCCGGCCAGCAGGCCCCAGAAGGCAGGGAGGAGGCCCTCGGTGAACGTGGACAGAGCCTGGCAGCCCCAGGCTGTGCCTCCTGCCCCCCTCCCATGTGTCCCTGAGTGTGCTGCCCCCCAGGCATTGTCTTTGGGGACCCATGTAAGGTCCACGGGTCCCCCACCCTCCCCTGCCGCCCTGCCTGCTGATCTGTCTCCCAGCGTTTCCCGGGCGTCTGCTCCACTCACCAGCACCCACCTCTGTGCGATTTTCCCTCTTTCCAGCCCGGTCCGACCCCAGGGCGGTCCAAGCCCTGTCCCCACAGCTCCGGGTGGGTGCAGGTTGGTCCCCCCCTCTCCTGCTAGGCCCTGCTCTGATCCCTGGCTGCAGCTGTGCCTCCCCCCCCCCCGTCCCCTCTCCTGGGGGCACACCACCTTGTGCTGACTTGCTTTGAGTGACGCTTTGGGCCCCCACAGCCAGGTCCCTGGGCCGTCCCTCAGGGTGGGTGAGGGGCTGTGCCCATCAGGCTGTCCCCGAACATCTCAGTCCCTGCCTTGAGGGCAGGCGTCCTGCCACTGGGTCCCTGGGAACCCCAGGAGTCGGGAGGCTCCCGGGAGGGAAACTGACCGAGGTGTGAGTTTTCCCCACCTGGGCCTTGGGGAACAGACACAGGTGATGGGGTGGGGCCAATAGCCACACCTGCCTGACTCAGGTAGAGTGCTGGCCCAGATGAGGTGTCAGATGAGGGAGCCCCAGGTGGGTCCCGCCCCACCCCATGCTCAATGTGGGGTTCCTCGTGTCTGGGAACCCACACAGACTGAGCAGCGGGAGCCTGCACCTCTGCCACCCTGGCGCCTGGGGCGGCCTCCGTGGGAGGTGCGCTGGGTAAGCAGAGGGCCGAGGGCTCGGGCTGGCCTTGCTGGGCAGGGCTCCTCAGAGGTGGACACCGATGTTTGAGTTTCCCGTCTCCCCAGCCTCTGCCCAGCCCGGCTCAGGCCACCACCTCCAGGGCCTTCCCAGACCCTCCAGGGCTGAGGCTGCCTCTCCCACCCACCTGTGACCTCCTGAGCACGCGGGCCATCCCAGCCGGGTGGCACGGTGGCCCTCCAAGCCACGCCTGCAGCCCAGCCCACACGCCCGGGCGACAGCAGGGCGCTCTGGGTCCCCGGGACCCCTTCTCTCGCAGGGGCTCAGCTGTCTTGAGTTTGACAGGTTCAGCCTATGGCCATGCTGACTGCGAGCCTGTGGCCGAGGCGAGTGGACAGTCTCACCTCACGCGGTCACTGCTGGTGGCTGTCAGCTCCTTGGCGGCCCAAGCGGTCCTCCTGTCCGGTCCCTGACGACTCCGGAGGCTGAACACTGGGGGCTGGGGCAGGGGGCCCAGAGCCAACACACAGGACCTCTGACCAGTGCGGGGCAGGGGTCACTAGGGCTGGACCTGCCTCGTGACCCCTGTACCTGCTCTTTGCAGCTGGTACTTCAGTGGCATCAGCCGCACCCAGGCCCAGCAGCTGCTCCTGTCCCCGGCCAACGCTCCAGGGGCCTTCCTCATCCGGCCCAGTGAGAGCAGCCAGGGCGACTACTCGCTGTCGGGTACGAGGCCCTGGCACCCCTGCCCCCAGGGCACCCTGTGCAGCTCCCTCCGGGCTGGAACCCTCTTGCCCTCAGGGTACCTACCCCAAGGCCTGCAGCGCCCACTGCTGGTCACTTCCCGTGTTTGTCTACTCATGGTTCATGAGCTCACGGGGCCATCCCGTCCCTCGCATTACCTCGCAGACGCTCACTCACCAGCTCCCACTGAGCGTCCACTCTGGGCCCTGGGCACACAGCTGGCAGGGGCCCCGTCCAGCCCGCACTGCCTCCTCCTCCACACGGCTCTGGCGGTCTCAGCCCCTAGGAGGGTGGTGGCATCTCCTGCTGGGGTGGTGGAGAGTCTGGGCACAGCCTCCATCTCTGCACCCCCCAGTCCGGACCCAGGTCAAAGTCCGCCACTACCGCATCTCCACGGCTGCGGACGGCAGCCTGTACCTGCAGAAGGGCCGCCGGTTCCCCAGCCTGGAGCAGCTGCTCACCTACTACCAGACCCACTGGAAGCCGCTCCAGAACCCGCTGCTGCAGCCCTGTGTGTCCCAGGTGGGCCGGCCCCGCCCTGCCGCCAGCCCTTGCAGGGCCTGATACACGGCCCGGAGGGTCAGCAGGGGTCCGATGAGGCCTGGGAGCCCACACCTCATGAGCCCTCCACACTCCGGTTGGGGCCCTGCCCCAGAGCGAGGTCTGCTCTCCTCTGAGAGTCCTGGGTGGCGGGTGCCAGGCTCTGCAGGGCAGCAGGAGCCAGTGTGGGGCACGTCTGGGGAAGGTGCTTGTGGCAGCCCCAGCCCAGGGCAGGAGCTGAGGGAGGAGATGCTGATCCCGAGGATCCACACCTGGGGTCACACCTGGGGTCACACCTGAGGTCCACACCTGGGGTCACACCTGAGATCCACACCTGGGGTCACACCTGGGGTCCACACCTGGGGTCACACCTGAGATCCACACCTGGGGTCACACCTGGGGTCCACACCTCGGGTCCACACCTGGAATCCACACCTGGGGTCACACCTGGGGTCACACCTGAGGTCCACACCTGGGGTCCACACCTGAGGTCCACACCTGGGGTCACACCTGGAGTCCACACCTGGGGTCCACACCTGAGGTCCACACCTGGAATCCACACCTGGGGTCACACCTGGGGTCCACACCTGAGGTCACACCTGGGGTCCACACCTGAGGTCCACACCTGGGGTCACACCTGGAGTCCACACCTGAGGTCCACGCCTGAGATCCACACCTGAGATCCACGCCTGGGGTCCACACCTGGGTCCCCACCTGGGGTCCCCACCTGGGGTCCACACCTGAGGTCCACGCCTGAGGTCCACGCCTGAGATCCACACCTGGGGTCCACACCTGGGGTCCACACCTGAGGTCCACACCTGGGGTCCACACCTGGAGTCCACACCTGAGGTCCACGCCTGAGATCCACACCTGGGGTCCACACCTGGGGTCCCACCTGGGGTTCACACCTGGAATCCACACCTGAGACCCACACCTGGGTCCACTCCTGGGATCCACACCTGGGGTCCACACCTGGGGTCCACACCTGAGGTCCACACCTGGGGTCCACACCTGGAGTCCACACCTGAGGTCCACACCTGAGGTCCACGCCTGAGGTCCACGCCTGAGATCCACACCTGGGGTCCACACCTGGGGTCCACACCTGAGGTCCACACCTGGGGTCCACACCTGGAGTCCACACCTGAGGTCCACGCCTGAGATCCACACCTGGGGTCCACACCTGGGGTCCCACCTGGGGTTCACACCTGGAATCCACACCTGAGACCCACACCTGGGTCCACTCCTGGGATCCACACCTGGGGTCCACACCTGGGTGGAGCCGCAGTTCTCCACCACAGCCCCAGAGGGGCTGGCTGCCTTGCCGAGGGGCTGAGGCCGCGACCCAGTTCCTCTGGTCCGGTAATGACAGCCTGATGGGCAGTAATGAGTGTTTGTGGATGGATGTTCTCCAGCGAAGGTGCCACTTAGGTCTGGAAGCAGTTGGGCTGGGCCCGGGGAGGTCAGCACCTGGTGCCCCTTGCTCCAGCCAGAGCACATGCTGGGGTGGAGGCCTGGTTCCCAGAGACGCTGCCACTCTGCCAGGGCACAGGCAGAGTCACTGAGCGCCCCCCGCCCCACAGGAGCCCCCCACGCAGGACGCGTGGGAGCGGCCGCGCTCAGAGTTCACCCTGCAGAGGAAGCTGGGCGAGGGCTACTTTGGGGAAGTGTGGGAAGGCCTGTGGCTCAGCTCCGTCCCTGTGGCCATCAAGGTCATCAAGTCAGGTGGGTGAGGCCCCGCTGCCCTGCCCTGGGAGCCCCGCAGCCCCGGGGGGGGGTGCAGGTCCTGGAGTAGCGCCCTTTCCCGCAGCCGACATGAAGCTCACGGACCTTGCCCAGGAGATCCAGGCGCTCAAGAGCCTGCGGCACCAGCGGCTCATCCAGCTGCACGCCGTGTGCTCCGCCGGAGAGCCCGTGTACATCGTCACCGAGCTCATGCGCAAGGGCAACCTGCAGGCCTTCCTGGGCAGTGAGTGCCGCCCGGTGGCTGCCTGCCTGTCGGGGCAGCAGACCTGCCTCAGGGCAACCACCTGCGCCCTCTGGGCTGGGCTGGGACCACTGGCAGAGCACGGTTCCTGGCTGGGTGGAGTGCAGGTGGGGGAGGGTCCAGCTGTGTCACCGCCCTGAGCCCCTGAGCGAGGTCAGCACAGACCCAGCCCCGCCCGGGTGCCCCCTCCCACTTGGGCCCTTCTCTGTCTCTCTCCGTCGGGGACCCAGAACGGGCTGCCAAGGAGCAGCTGGCCCGAGTGGTCGCCGCAGCCGCGCAGGGCCCACCCCCTCTCAGATGAGGAAGCTGAGGCACGGAGGGTCGTGACTGGAAGAGCCGCGCCCTGACCGCGAGCTGTCCCGCAGGCCCCGAGGGCCGCGCCCTGAGCCCACCCGTGCTCTTGGGCTTTGCCTGCCAGGTGGCCGAGGGCATGAGCTACCTGGAGGAGCGGCGCATCGTGCACCGTGACCTGGCCGCCAGGAACGTGCTCGTGGGTGACGACCTGGCCTGCAAGGTGGCCGACTTCGGCCTGGCCCGGCTGCTCAAGGTCAGTGCTGGCCGGGGCTGCTGACCCCGCAGGCAGCGAGCAGGTGGGACGGAGGGCACCCCTTCGCCCACCCACCCCGGGGTCCTCTCCCCAGGACGACGTCTACTCCCCGAGCAGCGGCTCCAAGATCCCAGTCAAGTGGACGGCCCCCGAGGCCGCCAACTACCGCGTGTACTCCCAGAAGTCAGACGTCTGGTCCTTCGGGGTGCTGCTGTACGAGGTGTTCACCTACGGCCAGTGTCCCTACGAAGGTGAGCCGCCCGGCAGCCCAGGGGAGGGCACACCTGCCTGGGGACCGTGCACCCCGGAAGGGGCCCAGCCTCGAGGCTCCCCTGCCGCGGGTCTGGCGAGGGCCGGGAAGGGATCCACAGTGTCTCCTCCCCAGGTCTGAGCAACCGGGAGACGCTGCAGCGGATCGCCAGGGGGTACCGGCTGCCGCGCCCCGCCGCCTGCCCCGCTGAGGCCTACGTGCTCATGTTGGGGTGTTGGAAAGGCAGCCCCGAGGAGCGGCCAGCCTTCGCCGAGCTGCAGGAGAAGCTGGGCCTCATGCACAGGCGCCTCCAGCCCGCCCTCACGTGACCCCGGGGGCGCCGGACTTCGGGGGCCTCGCCCCCCGCAGAGCCGACCCTCAGGTCGTTTGCTCGGCTCCCACAGGAGCCCCTGGCGTGGGCCTCCCAGGCGGACACACGCTGTGTGCACACAGGCCGAGACACACACCCACTCAGAGGAGGCCGCTGGAGTCCTCGCCCTGCATGGCCGTCCCTGGCGAGGGTGGGACTCCGCAGACAAGGGGCGGAGCCTGAGCCGGCTGAGGTCCCTCCCGCCTGGGACTCCTCCCAGGGCTGAGGGCAGCCTGTGTGGCTCCCCAGTTTTCTCCCAAGTCCCACTGGGGCCTGTTGAAGGGGCTGGTGCTGGGCTCCTAGGCCGGCCCCAGGCACTGGGCACAGGCCGGGCACAGCCACCGCCTCCTCGTGCACAGACCCTGTGCACGCAATAAAGACGTGTATACTGAGTCAGACACGCACAGACATGCGTCACACGTGGGCCTCAGTCCCCAGCAGAGCAGGAGCAATGGGGGGCCCACCAGCTGGTTCATCACGACAGAGGGAGAGCTGGCCCCAGGGCATCTTGGGGCCCAGACAGGGAGCCAGAGGCAGGAGCTTTGGGAACAGCCTCTTCTATCTCCCGATGGCTGGGTGGCCGTTTAGGGGGCTGGTGACTCCTTGGAGGTGCAAGCCTGGTGCCCCTGGCAGTGCCGTCGGGCAGGAGGGGGCTGGGTGCTGAGGGAGGCGGGCACTGGGGTCAGCTCTCGGGGATGAGGAAGCTGCCGGCTCGCTGCTGACCTCAGGCCACAGTGAGGTGCTGGATGCGGAGGTGGGTGCTGTACCCCGTTGGGTCCTGGCTCCGGTCATCACGGATGGACACGGGGGGGACAGGAGAACCAGGTGGGTGGGACCTGCCTTCGGGGTCCCCAACCCCATCCTCCTGGGAGCCCCACGCTGGCCGCTGTGCCCCAGAGGCTTGTGGGGACAGAGGGACAGACACACGAAAGCCGGCCCTCGGGTGTACCGCTGATCACAGCCCCCCCAGCGCAGATGAGTGACCCCTGGGGCTGCTCAGAGCTGGGTGGGCTGGGGGAGGGAGGGCAGCACACGGGTGAGGTAGGAACCGGCCGCTTCAGGCCCAGGTGCACCTGGCTCCAGGGCAGGGCTGTGGGGAGGGCCGGAGCCCTTGGCGCCTCAGACCCTAGGCTGGGACCACCCCAGCCCTGGTGGGTGGTGGGGGCAGAGGGTTTGTCTGAACTTCTTGGGACCCTGCCCAGCAGCTGCTGACCCCTCCACCCTGCGCCGGCCCGAGGGGCTGGCTTGGGTGTGCAGGCCCCAGAAGGTGAGGGCTGGAGCCGAGCTCCTCGGTTTGGGGGACCAAGGACTCCTCTGGGCAGGGGCTCCAGCCACCAGGAAGGGTCCCCCCCACTGGGAGCTGCAGTGAGTGTGACCGGCCAGAGGCAGGTGTGCCTGGGGTCACCGCGGTGTCTCACCAGCCCCGTGCTGGGGGCTGTGCTCTGGGGCCTCTGGGCCCAGCAGACGCTAAGCAGCCCACGGCCGGCGGTCGTCCCCTGAGCCCTGCCCCTCCCCAGTCGGCTGCCCCGTCCCTCCTGGCCCGGTCAGAACCGAGCTGGGCTGTCCAGCACAGCACATGTGTGGCCCTGTGGAGAGCAGGCTGTGCACGGACTGCAGTTGCACACACGTGTTCACACCCTCACACTCGCTCCTGTTCTTGCTCTCCAGGTGAGCTGAGCAGGGCTGTCGCTCTCTCCTGAATGAAAGGGGGGGTCCCAACGGGCAGGAGCCACACTCATTTGTCCTCATTGTCCCATTGGGGCAGAGCACCCTGACCCCGGCACCTGCTCCACGGGGGATGCGACACTGGGCCACACCAACTTCTTGCCACGGTCAGGGTGTGTGTGCCGGCTCCATGGTGAGCAGGGAGCATTGGACCTGGGAGAATCTCTGGGGAGGGAAGAAAGGCAGCTCCCGCTGGGCTCCAGCCTGCTGTCCGTCTGTCCCACCTCCGTCCCAGTGGCCCTGGGTCGGGGAAAGCCTCATCCATGGCCTCTGCCCCTACCCAAGACTCTCCACGACTCAGGCTCTGCTAAGGTGGACCCGGGAGGGCCCTGCCTGATCGGCTGCTCCCCTCTCTCTCTCTCTCTCTCTCTCTCTCTGTCTCTCTCTCTCGGCTCAGGTCTGGCCCTGTGGTGCTGGGTGAGCATATTTCCACAGCAGGTAGCAAGAGCAATGCCCAGACTGACCTGGCCCCAGTGGGTAGAACAGGTGGGGCTGCCAGGCCCTTGGAGTGGAGCCCAGGTGCTCAGAGAGCCGCCTTTCACCGGGAAGTGGGCGGGCTCCTCGGCAGGGCGGGTGGGGTGTGGGGTGTGTGGCCTGTCAGAGTGGGCCCCGCCCACCACACCTGCCAGCCAGGTGTTCTGGAGTTCCAAGCAGACCAGTGACAGGCAGGGAGGGAGGCCCAGGGGCTAGGTCCTGCCGCTTTAGCCGTCATGGTGTCTCGGGACAAAGTGCACCCGGGCCCCAGGTACGTGGGCCTCTGGGACTTTGAGGCCCGGACAGACGAGGAGCTGAGCTTCCGGGCAGGGGACCTCTTCCACGTGGCCAGGAAGGAGGAGGACTGGTGGTGGGCCACCCGGCTGGACGCGGAGGGCGGGGCCCTGGCCGAGGGCTACGTGCCCCACAACTACCTGGCCGAGATGGAGACAGTGGAGTCTGAGCTGTGAGTGCCCCAGGGCTCCCACTCCCCGGGCCTGCAGCACCTTGCGAGCTCTGGGCAGGGCCCCCTCGGAACAGAGCTCTGCACCCCTGTGGCCGGGCTCGGGGGAGGCCAGGGTGTGGCTGGCCATGGAGGGCGGGACTTGTGGCTTCGGCTTCCTGGGCCCCAGCTGGGGCTGGACCCCACCATCCTCATCCCAGGGGTGTGGCTGGGCTTTGCTGAGCCACAGCCGGGGGCCCTGCCCTGGGCTCCGCATGGTGGAGCCGTGGTCAGGACCCAGAGTGGACAGGAGAGGCTGCCGTGGGTGTCCGCGTGGCCAGCCAGCACTGACGGGGTCTGTGTGGGAACCGAAGGCAGGGCTGGGCCTTTCGGGGAGCCCAGCTTGGCTCACCTTCCAAACAACTGAAACCAGACGTACGACCTAGTTAGGAAGGAGGAAGGTCATTGCGACATGCCCTGCTCGGGTGTGGGTTGTGGGTGTCTGCTCCCTGCACCCTCACGGCTGCCTCATCACGAGCAACGTGTCTCTGGGAGGCGGTGGCCACCCCAAGGGGATGCTTGAATCACAGGGGCAGTCTGCGGTGGGCAACCCACAGACCCGAGCTGGTGCCTCTGAGCTCTGGGAGCAGGGTGTCCGGCAGGGAGCCCCACAGCCGGCCTGTGCTCCCTGACCAGGGCCCCAGCTCAATGGTGCTCTCGCTGTGTGCGGGCAGCACAGTGAGCAGGTGTGGGGGTGGCCGGCCGCCTGCTGAGGGGACACAGGCAATGAGCAAGGTCAACCTGAAGCAAGTCGGCTTCAGAAGGCGGGGGTCTCATGAGGGGTGTGATGCAGGGTGGGCCCAGCTGAGGAGGACCTGTGGCCCTGAGATAGCACATTCAAGAAGAAGAGTGGGGGGTGAGCAGGGGAGCCCCCAGAGGTGTGCAGAACGGGTCTGTGCTGGGCAGTGGCCTTCCATGCAGGGGCTGCATTCCAGGGGTGCCCCAGGGAGTTGGGGTGCTAAGGGCAGAGCAGTTGGCAGTAGAAGTCACCTGGGAGATTGCAGGCCCCACCCTGCAGCCCAGAGTCCAGGGCTCGCCCATGCACTGGTGCTGGCTGCTGGTGTGTTGGGATTGGCAGATGTGTGTGCAAATGTGTGTGTGAATGCGTGTGAGTGTATAAATGCACGTGTATGGAGGTGTGTGCAAATGTGTGAATGCTTGTGTGCATATGAGTGTGTGTGAATGTGAGTGTGTGAATGCACGTGTGAGTGTGCAAATGTGTTGTGAGTTCATGTGTGTGAGGGTCAAGTGTTGTGTGAGGGTGCAATTGCATGCGTGAATGCATGTGTGTGAATGTGCAAATGGTGTGAGCGTGCAAATGCACATGTGTGGATGATGTGTGCAAACACACGTGTGAGAGTGTGAATGCCTGTGTGCAAATGGGTGTTTGCGAATGTGTGTGAATGCATGTGTATGGGTGCAAATGGTGTGTGTGAGAGTGCAAATGCACGTGAGAGTGTGAATGCATGTGTGTGCAAATGTGTGTGAGAGTGCATGTGTGCGAGGGTGCAAGTGGTGTGTGAGTGTGCATGTGGTGTGTAAATGTGCAAGTGCAGGTGTGAATGCATGCGTGTGAATGCAAATGGTGTGTGAGTGTGCGAATGCATGTGTGAGTGCAGACAGGTGTGCACAGCCTGCTCAGGTCCCCGTGCTAGAGCACAGCCTGTCTGCAGCCCAGGTCTAAGAAGGTGGTCACAGAGTCACAGCCATGTGGTCCCACGGGATGGGTGGCACATCCCTGGGACAGGGTGGCTCTGACCACACATCGGGGGCACTGGGCAGAGTGGTGGGCGGTGCCTGCTCTACCCCCTCCCGGTCACTGGGGCCTTTCTGGAACCAGACACTTGGGACATTTGAGTCTGTGATGGGCAGAGAAAGGGCCTCAGGTCAGAGACAGTATCAGCAGGCAGCTGGGGGTCAGGTGATTGGCTAGGACGGGAGGGCAGGGAGGGGTCAGCGTGGGGTCAGCGTGGGCTCCGGCCCTTCTGCCCCCAGGTGGTTCTTTGGCAGCATCTCCCGGTCGGAAGCTGTGCACCGGCTGCAGGCCGAGGGCAACGCACGAGGTGCCTTTTTGATCAGGGTCAGCGAGAAGCCGGGGGCAGACTATGTCCTCTCAGGTACGCAGCCCCTCCAGGCTCCCGGGGTCGCCGGGCTTGTCCCTTGCCCCTGAACCCTGTCTTCCTGCACGTGGAGAGCCCGTACCCCTCCAACTGGCTGTGCTGCTGCGGTGGCCGGTTGTCCCCGTGGTCCTGGGCCTGGGTTTTCTCTTTCGCCACCGGGAGGACCACCGGGCAGGGTGCCGGGCGTGGGGTTCAGGGGAACCCTCGGGAGGCAGGGAGGGGTGGCGCCGGGGCGCTCACGCCTGCTCACCGTCCCCCCTCCGCCTGTGCCCTCCTCCAGTGCGCGACGAGCAGGCCGTGCGGCACTACAAGGTCTGGCGGTGTGCTGGCCGGCTCCACCTCAGCGAAGCTGTGTCCTTCCCCAGCCTGGCCGAGCTCGTGAGCCACCACCGGGCGCACAGCCTGTCCCATGGCCTGCAGCTGACTGTGCCCTGCAGGAAGGTAGGCGTCCCCTCCTCAGGACCCCACCACCTGCAGCCCTCGCTCCTCAATGACAGACCCTCAGGGTCACGCATGGGCCTCGGGGGGGCCTCTGGCTGCCTGGAAGCTGAGGTCCTACAGAGCTGGGGGTGGCGGGTGGGTCAGAGGAGGGTCCCCCCTCTGCCAGTCCCTCTCATCTTTGGGGTTGCAAGAAGTCAGCGATGCCCCTGCCGTGTACTGTCTGTCTCCCTGGGACAAGAGCTTTGTGCCCCACCAGCAGCTGGGCAGTTTTGTCTGAGTGGCACTTGGACCAATGTCATAGGCCAGAGCAGGCGGCGAGGGTGCTCACAGAAGAGCCGTTTGCTGGGCCCTGGGACCCTCCCCAGCTGACGGTAGCCTTACCTTTGAGGATGACCAGGGCTCCCCTGCTGGGTCAGAGGGAGTGCCCGGCGGGTGGGCTGGGTGGCGATGGGGTGACGCCCCTCCCTGCCCGTGTCCCTGCCTGTCCCTGCAGCACGAGCCGGAGCCCCTGCCCCACTGCGCGGCCTGGGAGAGGCCTCGGGAGGAGTTCACGCTCTGCAGGAAGCTGGGGTCCGGCTACTTCGGGGAGGTCTTCGAAGGGCTCTGGAAAGACCAGGTCCGAGTGGCCATTAAGGTGATTGCCCGAGGTGAGTGGCCCCAGGCCAGGGGGCTCTGCCTGACTGCCCCCCCCCCCCCCGCTCGCTGGGTGGGGCCAAGGCAATGCCAGGGCCCTGCTGTCCCGGGTGCCACACCCAGCACGGCCTGCGTGGGATGGAGCTGGCCTGTCCTCTCGATTATAAATCAAGATGCATCTATTGTAAAGGGCACATGAATTTTTTAAAATTCTGTTTTTATTATGTTATTTCTTTTTTTTTTATCCTCACCTGAGGACATTTTTCCATTTGTTGTTCAGATAGAGTGGGAGGGAGAGAGAGAGAGAGAAACATCGACGTGAAAGGGACACATCGAGTGGTTGCCTCCCGCACGACCCAACTAGGGCTGGGGACAAACTTCAACCCAGGTACCTGCCCTTAGCGGGAACCGAACCCGGGACTCTCTGGACCGCAGGCCGATGCTCTAACTGCTGAGCCAAACCGGCCAGGGCGATTATTTCTTTTTTAAAGTTTTTTAAAACTCGATTTTTAGAGAGAAAGGAAAGAGGAGAGAGAGAGAGAGAGAGAAAATCCATCGGCTGCCTCCTGCACGCCCCCTACTGAGGATCAACCCCACAACCTGGGCATGAGCTCTGACTGGGAATCGAACCGGTAACCTTTTCATCCACGAGACGACGCCCAACCAGCTCAGCCACACTGGCCAGGGTGGCATATTAAATTCTTCACGTAGATGGAAATCCACGAAAACCACTAGGAAGCTAGAAATCCGAAAGGCTGGTTTGCAGTTTCCTTGGGACCCACATTCCGGAGTCAGGGGCCAGGGCGCACAGGACACGTGGGGGGCGTTCCGGCTGCGCGTCAGCTTGGGCAGGTGCGGGCCAGAGTGAGCACGAGGGTGCCTGGGTGTGGTCAGAGCGAGAGAGGCAGCAGGTGGGTGCTGGGGAGCCACGGGGCCGTGTCTGCCGACACCCTGGCCCTGGGAGCGGGCTGTGCGGGGGTGGGGGGCACCATGTGCACTGAGGATGGGGCTGGGGCTGCGCCCACCGATGCCGCCTGTCCCCGCAGACGACCTCCTGCACCAGCACACGTTCCAGGCGGAGATCCAGGCCATGAAGAAGCTGCGGCACAAGCACATCCTGGCGCTGTACGCCGTGGCGTCCGTGGGGGACCCCGTGTACATCATCACGGAGCTCATGGCCAAGGGCAGCCTGCTGGAGCTCCTGCGGGGTGAGCAGGGGTGCTGGCGGCTGGGGTCAGAGGGACGCCTCCTCGGGGGGACAGGAGGGAACCCCGGCACCCCCACACCACGCGCTGGGTGGCCGGGGGCGCTCGGTGCTCCTTCAGGCCTTTCCTGTCTAAGGAACCGTCTTGTGATAAAGGCACCGTCCGCTCACGGTGGGAATTTGAGAAAACAGACAGGGCAAATATAAGAAAAGCCCCCTGGTCCCTACACACAGAGCCATCAGCCTATGTGACCGGCCCGTGGTTTCATTTTAACGACGGTGTCTGCCACCGAGCTGAGGTGCGGCTGGGGGCGGGAGAGGCCTGGGGTCGGAGAGGTCAGAACGGGGAGGTGAGCTCTGTAGGACGAGACATCGGTGTGATGTGTGCACCTGGGAAGCTGCTTTGCTACCGACCTGGGGAGGGCTCTGAGCCCAGTGCCCACGGAGGCCAGCCCACTGGGGCCCTCGCCCACTGTCCTCCAGAGATGACACGTTCCACAGTGAACACTGGTGCGCGGCGTCCAGGTAGCCGACGGCCTGTTGGACCTTTTTGGGGTTTTGGGGGTTTTCCATCGTTTAAATTACACTGGGGCCCTGGCCAGTTTGGTTCGGCGGTTAGAGCGTCGGCCTGCGGACCAAAGGGTCACGGGTTCGATTCCCAGACGAGGGCACACACCTGGGTGGCAGGTCCCATCTCCGGCCCCAGTCAGGGTTGTGTGGGAGGCAACCGTGTTTCTCTCACATCAATCTCTCTCTCCCTCCTTCTCTCTCTAAAAATCAATGGAAAAGCCTCCTCAGGTGAGGCTTAAAAAAATCACACTGGGCTGGGCGGTCTCCGTACGTACACCTTGGGTCCCCGTCACCTCACTTTAGTTCCCGGAAGGAAGCGCTAAGATGTGTGTGAAAAGTGTTCATGCTGACACAGAAACGCCTTCCAGAAGACAGAGTGGACCACTGTCCCGATTTTGTTTATTACTATTATTTTTTAATTGATTTTTTAGAGAGAGGGGAAGGGAGAGAGAGATGGAAACATCAGTGTGAGAGAGAGACATGGATCGGCTGCCTCCTGCACGCCTCCCACTGGGGATCGAACCCGCAACCCGGGCCTGTGCCCTGACCGGGAATCGAACCAGGACCTCTCAGTCCCTGGGAAGACGCTCCATCCACTTAGCCACACGACCCGGCCACTGTCCCAATTTCATTTATTTATTTTAATCCTCACCCGAGGATATTTTTCCATTTATCTTCAGACAGAGTGGGAGGGAGAGAGAGAAATATTGATGTAAGAAAGACACATCCATTGGTTACCTCCTGCATGACCCCACCAGGGCCGGGGACCAAACCACAACCGAGGTACGTGCTCTTGACCAAATCAAACCCGCGACTCTTTGGTCCGAGGGCTGACGCACCAACCCAGCCCCTCTGCCCTCTGCTCCAGCCCGTCTGCTGAGCCAGGAGCCGGAAGGGGTTGGCAGAGAGGACAGCCCTCTGGCCACACTGACCCGGGCCCTTTGCCTCTGCAGAGTCCGATGAGAAAACCCTGCCCGTTTTGGAGCTGATGGACATCGCCTCGCAGGTGGCCGAGGGCATGTGCTACCTGGAGTCCCAGAATTACATCCACCGGGACCTGGCCGCTAGGAACATCCTCGTGGGCGAGAACAACATCTGCAAAGTGGGGGACTTCGGGCTGGCCAGGCTCATCAAGGTGAGGCCTCCGAGGGCACAGGGCACAGCAGGCTCCCTGTGCTGGCAGCTGGGGTTCCTGTGGGGTCCCCAGCAGACAGGAGCTGCGGGCTCTGGCTCTGGGGGTGGGTCACAGGGCCTTCCAGAGTGGGAGGGTGGTGGGGCCCACGGCCCCTGCAGGAGCCTCGGGAGGAAACGGAAGCCACACGGGCCAGCAAGGGTGCCCAGAGGCTGGTGGGGTACACGGGAGGAGCCCACATCTCTGCTGGGTGGGGGGGAGCAGGAATCTGGCTCGTCCTCCACTCTGTGTGCTGCGCCGGCCTCTTCCGTGCAGCCAGGAAGCTGGGTGTGGCTGTGAGCTCAGGGCAAACATTTTTTTTAAATCCTCACCCGAGGACATTTTTTTGTTTTTTTTGTTCAAATGGAGTGGGAGGGAGGAAGGGGGGGGAGAGAGAGAGAGAGAGAAACATCGATGTGAAAGGGACACATCGAGTGGTCACCACCCACACGACCCAACCGAGGCCGGGCACAAACTGCAACCGAGGTACATGCCCTCAGCAGGAACTGAACCCGGGTCTCCCTGGACCACGGGCCGACGCTCTAACCACTGAGCAACCGGCCAGGGCCCAAAGAAACCTTCTTATTGCGAAGAATGTGGGAGACAAACTCGGTCAGAATCCTGCAACGTGCCTTGTGGTCCCTCGGTCAGCCCCACCGCTGGCCTCCCACCCCCACCCCACCCCCAGCCCTGGCAGACACCCACCCACCCATGAGTGACCCCCACAGGACAGCCACACCCCTACAATGAGCTGCGACTCCTCAGTCACACGCCCCCAGCTCCACCTCCACATTCTTGTAAACACCACGAGTCCGAGTCCGTTTCTTTGCTCCTGGATGTGTCCCAGGGTCCAGGGCTGGGCCTGTGGTTTCCCCTCATTGCGACATTTCCCTCCCCCGCTAGGGGCCTGGTCCCTCAGGAGGCAGGCCGCCCGGGACTCTGCCAGCTTCCAGTTCCTGCAGCAGGGGCTGGTCAGCCTTTTCCTGGCATCTCTGAACTCATGAACTTGAACATGCCTGGGGCCCCTCCCCAGGGGTCACTGTCCTACTGGGCTCAGCTGCCCCGTGTCTGGGCTCCCATATCTGGTGGGAGGAGCCACACCTTCCTGACCCTGACACCCCTGCTTTGCCACCTACCTGTCCTTCCCCCCTCGGGTGAATTGGTCTGTCTCCAAGGTGGGTGGCATCGCCCCCTAGTGGCGGCCTGTGTCCTGACCATGCCCATTCCAGGCCGGGCGGCCAGACACCTGCCCACCACAGGTTCCCGGTGCCCCGTGCTGCAGGGGAGCAGGTGGCCACCGCCTCACCCCCGGCGTGTCCAATTGCAGGAGGACATCTACCTCTCTCACGACCACAACATCCCGTACAAGTGGACGGCCCCCGAGGCGCTCTCCAGGGGGCATTACTCCGTCAAATCTGACGTCTGGTCCTTTGGGGTGCTCCTCCACGAGATTTTCAGCAGGGGTCAGATGCCCTATCCAGGTACTAAGCCCCAACAGTGTCCCTGACTGTGGGCAAGGTGAGAGGGACTGTCGCCTGGACCCAGTGCCTGGACTCCGTTCTGAGGGTCCAGCGCCGTCCAGAGAGCCTGAGAAAGGGGTGCGGTGCAGAGGGTGACAGGAGGACCCCGGGCTTCCTGGGGGGGCAGCAGGTGGTAAGCAGCGGCCTCCCAGGTGCCACAGCCCCCTTGTCCCGCCCTCCACAGGCATGTCCAACCACGAGGCCTTCGTGAGGGTGGACTCCGGCTACCGCATGCCCTGCCCCTCCGAGTGCCCACCCACCGTGCACAAGCTGATGCTCTCGTGCTGGCACAGGGACCCCGAGAAGAGGCCGGGCTTCAAAGCCCTTCGGGAGAAGCTGTCCAGCTTCACCAGGTACGAGAACCCGATCTGAGTGGCCCCCCCACCGCCGCACGGTGGCACTGACACCGGCAGCTCCCGGTCCAGCCTGTGCGCTCGGCAGGCAGAAGACACCCCTGCAGTCTAGGGGCCTCTTCTGAGACACCGGCACCAGGAACACTCCAGGCCCTCCCAACTGACTCCGGAACCATCCATGAGCAGGGGCTGAACCTGTCCCTGGCACTGACCCACACGCACCAGCTCAGGCAGGGCCTGGCCCTCGAGCCCTGGCCATGCTCTCCCTTTCCGCCAGGCCCCTGCCTACCTCCCGTCCTGGGGCTGGGCACACCCCCCCCAGCCCTCTGCAGACAAGGACAGCTTGATGGCCAAGCACTGCTCCCACCATCCTGCGGCCAGGCGGCTGTCCCTTCTTCCCGCCACGGCGGTCAGGACCCACCGACAAAGGCTCCGGGGGCCCGGTCTGGACACTGCAGCTAGTAGGGCCAAGTGGGGCACCTGCCCACCCAGCCTCACCAGTGACCACCAGCCTTGGGACCACAGGGTAGCCTGAGTGAGGCTGCTCCCATCCTGACTAGACACCCCAAGGGCAGGCAGGACAGAGGTTGCCCCCTTTGGGGCCACAAGCCCCCCAGTTGTTTTGGAATGGACGGACACAGCTATCTACAGCACAGAGTAGTGGGGAGGGGGCAGAAGAGGAAGAGGGCTCCCCAGGGGCCAGCTGAGTCCCACGTCACACCAAGGCCCCATCCACTAAGCTGCCCTCTCCTGGAGCCCTAAACTGGTCCTCCCTCTGGCCACTGGGGCAGGTGGACACAAGGCAGGCACATGGCACAGCCCCCCAACTCCCGAGTGGGACTTTGCCTAAGCTGGGCTGCTCCTGGTGGGAAGGCCCCTTTGAAGCATCCTGCGCCCTCTGCCCCCAGCCTTAGTCTTGGGCACCTGGGGCCATGGACCTGCCGCTCCTGGGTTGGGGGGCCCAGCCCAGAGTATCTGTGAGGGGCTAGAGGTGACACACCTGTGGAAAAGCACCTGGGTGACAGCCTTGTCCCACACTGCTGGTAGGAAGCCTTCGACCTCACCTCCCTCCCTGGGGTGGAGGGGCCTCAACAAGGTTTTAAGGGGGCACCGGCTTCCTCCAGCAGACAGCTCCCAAAGCCACCGGGCCAGGGGTGGCGTGACCTAGAGGCCCGTGACCTCAGTGGCAGGGGCAGCTCTTGGACCACCTGGTCCCCCAGGTGCAAGGCTCCACTCACAGCATCTCCCTGGGGGGGCCCCAGGACCAGCTCCCCACCCCCACCAGGAAGTGAGGAGCTGAGCCCTCCCCCACACCTGGAACCCACAGCTCAGGAGCACCACCAGGGAAGCTGGCTGCCTGTCGTTTATTTTCCATTTGGTGCAAGGCACACGGTTCCGGGTGTCAGGAAGGCTCGCATGTGGCTTGGGTAGTGAAGAGCCGGGCTCTCTCGACTTCCTTTTTGGTGTGTTTGCTGTTTTGATATAAAAGAACCCACTGGTGGGGCTCGCTGCAGCCGGCCTAGTCTATGGGCAGGGTGGGGGGTGGGGTGGGGCTCAAAGGGGCCCAGCGCCTCTGGAGATCTGGTGGCTGGTGGTGGCCACTCAGGATGGGGGCCCGGCGCTGGCTTTGCCGGGCTGGCCACCAGGCTGCTTCCTTGTGGCTTCCCGAGCCAGGTCACAGGTGATCACGCTGCTGGACGCCCGGGGAGACTGTGAGCTGGGGGAGAGAGTGTGCGGTCACAGGCTGCTCCCACCTGCCCCGCTTCCCACGCTGGCCCCAGGAGGTGGACTCACTGTTCTGGGGACTCCAGCACTGTGGCCATGAATGGCAGAGTGGACTTCCCGAAAAAGAAGCTTGCCCACCAGTGACCTGGGTCGGCCTTGGGGAGACCTGCGAGAAACAAAGAGGGGTCACGGTGCTGCTGCTCACTCCGGGGGACCCCTCCGGGGCTGGGCCTGCCGCACTCACCTGGGTGGTGGGGGATGGCCTCCCCGGGGTACTCCGCACTTCCACAGGAGCTGTTACTGGAAGTGGAGCCCAGGCGGCCTGCGGAGAGGCGGCAGTCAGCGCCGGCCCGGCCCCTCCCCACGCACACAGGGCCTCCCCAAGGGCTGGAGCTCGGGGCCAGGGGGCAGCCCCGGTCAGACCCGTGGGCCGCTGGGCCCGGGCTCACTTACGCCGGTAGTAGTCGTGGGTGGCCACGAGCGAGCCGCTGGAGGGGATGGCCGCCATGCTCGCTGGTGGGTGGTGGGAACCTGCGCACACGGGGTCAGGGAGCCCCTGTAACCGAGCGCCCTCGGGAAGGGCGCCCCGCCCGGGCTCCCGCTCCGCCCGCGGGCTCCCGGAGGGGCGGCGCGCGGGTTTGTTTACGGAGCCGCGGTGGCTCCGGAACCCGCGGACCGCCCTCTCCAACCGGCCCGAACCGGCCGCGCGCGGGCGGAACAAAGGCGCTTTGTGCGCGGGGCCGCCACCTGGGCTCCGGAACCCCTCGGGGACCCGAGCCGTCCCGCTGCCCCGCCCGCAGGCCCGTCCCCCGCCCACGGCAGCCCTCGGCCCCGCCTTCCGTCCGGTGTCCCCAGCCCGCGCCCCCCGCCCCGTCCCCGCCCGTCTTCGCGTCCGTCTGTCCGCCGGTCGGTCCGTCCGGCCAGCGACGCGCACCGGGCCGACCGCGCCGCCCTCACCTCGGCGGCGACCCCTCGCGGGCCTCGGCGCGCGATCACGGGTGGCGGGAACGAGGGCGCTAGGCCACGGAGCCCATTTGCAGAGGGGACCGCGGGGGCCGCTCAACGACCGAGACGCGCGGGGATGCGCACGCGCGGAGGCGCCCGCTTATGTGGGGCGCCGCGCTCGCGTCACGGGGGGCGGGGCGCGCCGGCCACGCCCAGGCCGAAGTCCGGACCCGAGTCCGTCGGACGCCGGTGGCCTGGGCAGCGCGTCGGGGCCTCGCCCCGGGCGGCAGTGGCTAACGGCCCCTCCGCCCGTCCTGGCAGGGCCTGTCCCCTCCTCCCGGGACCCGGCCGCCTCTCGGGCCCCTCTGGTCCAGCCTGCCTGAACCTGGACCGCGCCCTGCACTTCCTGTGCCTTTCGGTTGCGGTCCACAGCCCTGGGCACTGCGCCGTCCTCGGCCCTCTCTGCTCAGGACGGTCGCTCTCACCCAGCGCAGAAGTGGGCCCGGGGCATCCCCCGCCCCCAGCTGCGGGCGCTGGGTGGTACCCGGGGGTGCTCTGTGCCCTGAGCCCTCCAGCCAGGCGTCTGGTCGCCAAGGCCCTTCAAAGACTTCAGGCTGGTGAAACCAGCCGGGGACTGGAGAGAGGGCATCAGGTGTGAGCTGAGGTCCGAGGAGGGAGGAGCGGGCGCAGGGGCCGGTGCCATCACCCCTCTGAGGCCCAGCAGGGAGGCCTGTGGGCCTGGGACGGGGAGGGATAGTGGCAGGACCTGTGATTGGAGTGGTGGCCAGGCCTACTCACGGGGTCTTTGAGGGGCCGCCGCAGGGTCCCTAATAGGGCAGAGTGGTCGGTGCGTTGACGCAGGAGGGTGGAACGTTCCTGCAAGACCCAGGCTCGTCTCACTGAAGGGCCCTCAGCCGCAGGGCTCTGCCCTTTCCGTGGCTTCGTGCCCCCGTGGCCGTGGCCAAGCGCGTGGGTGTGTCGTGGTGTGCCCCTCCCATGTGCCTTCCACAGAGCTGGTTCCAGGGCCTCAGGCCTGAGAGGTCAGAGCTGGGGCCTGCGGGACCTTGGACAGCTCCCACGGCAAGGAAGGTGGCGAGGGCTTGGGGCCAGTTCGGCACTCGGGCATGGTGGTTACTCTGGAGGGGTGCAGCTGGGGGGATGAGGGCGGTGCCGTCCCTGGGAGTGGGGTGCAGAGTACCCCTGGGGGTGGTCCGGAGAACCCATGTGAGCAGGAGGAGAGGACAGGTGAGCGGGGACGCCCGGGGCAGCCCACCCCATGCCATGCGGGGTCTGGGCAGACAGCAGGGGGCTGTCATGGAGAATGGGGCCACTTAGGGCCCCCATGGGGCAGGAGGGCCACCAGGGCAGCTCTTCTCAGGGCTGGAGGCCGGTGCTAGCCTCGCTGCTGTGGGTTCTGGGCTGAGATCCATCCAGAACTGATGGAGAGCCTACTGTGTGCCAGGCAGTGCAAGGCCTGGGTCCGCAGAGGTGGGTAAGCAGGACCCTGGCCCACTCCAGGCTCAGTCCCCGGAGGCTGAGAAGGTGCAGCACCAGAGCGGGGGTGTGCAAAGGCCCGGGGGCTGCAGGGAGTCCTGGTACACTGGGCTGTGGGGGTGGGGAGGCTGAAGCCAGGTCCTGCCTCTGGGTGGGGTGCATAGGGCGAGATGTCCCAGCAACTCCCTTGGGTGGCACAGCAGTCACCCTGTGCGGGCTTGGGCAGTCCTGCCCACGGGGCCTCCGCAGCACCTCCTTCCCTGGGGCGACCCCGACAAAGCTTCCCCTGCCCCTGTGGGGCCCAGGCTCGCGTCTCCTTGGGCTCCCTGGGCTGGCACAGGCCTGGGAAGCTGTGGCAGGTTTGGGAGAGCAGAGGGGATGGGCAGTTGGGGTTTGACACCCCTCTTCTGGGCCTCAAGAATCCATAGAGCCCCAGCCCTGGCAGAGTTGCCCCTTGGGGGGCTGGAAGCTTCAGACCTGGAGGAATTCTCAGGTGGGTCCTCCTCCTAGCTTGGAGCTGTGGTTCATCCCGGCCATTCCCGAGCCCCTGCTCCCTCCTGTGGAGGGTGGGGTGATGGTGGTACCTTCCTAACAGGTGTTCTCTGAAGACAGGATGGGGGAGGGAAGAGACCGGCGTCTGAGCAGGCCCTCACATCTGGAGCTGTTGGCGTACAGTTACCTGTGTCGTTAGTTACCTGCACTGTTGCTCTGGCCACAGGTATTTGGGAGCATGGGGAGAGCTCTGCTGAAGCCCTCAGGGCGCCTCAGCCTGCCCTCGGAGCACGGGGTTCCCCATCAGGAACACGGCAGCCTCACCCCTTACCTTCAGGGTCTGAAGACCCCTTCCCTGGTGGCAGCTCTGCCCAGCTCTTGGGCACAGCTGGAGCTGTTGTGGGTAATATACCCATTTGCAGAAAAAAATGCCACTACGGAGTAATAGTCATAAATGCCTACTATGTGGGAGGCACTTTGTGTGGCCAGATGACGTCCCGGGGAAGCAGCAGCCACAGCCACTGCCCCTCGGGTCCCCTGCTCTGTGAGGTGGGGGGTGCTGGACTCACGGGGCTACTCTGAGGTTAAGAGGCTCCATGTAAACGCTTAGACAAGTACCTAGCACTTCGGAGCTGCACGTGAAAGTCAGGCACGGAAATAATGTAGTCTGTTTACTTGTTGGAGAAGCGGAATCGCCTGCCCTCCACGCGAAGGGGGAGTCAGCCCTGCAGCAGGTACCCTCAGACGCGTTGGCGAGAGGGTGTTACGGAATGAAAGGCAGGTCTTCAGCGTGGAGGGCTGAGGTCAGCACACTCTCTCCCCACATGCAAGTGTTGCTACTGGGAAAAACTGTCCTCAGCAACCCGTTTGGGCCTCCGGAATTTAATCCAAGGCACACGACAAACCACCGAGTGTTGATTCATCAAAAATACTAAACTTCAGCCTGGCCGATGTGGCTCAGTGGTTGAGCACCGACCCGTGCACCAAGAGGTCACCAGTTCCATTCCCGGTCAGGGCACATGCCCAGGTTGTGGGCCTGATCCCCAGTGGGGGGCATGCAGGAGGCGGCCAATCCATGTTCTCTCTCATCGATTTTTTTCTCTCTCTCTCCCTTCTCCCTTCCTCTCTCTCTAAAATCAATAAAGAAAACAAAATTAAACTTCAGGGTAAAATGCAAAATTACTTGGCATAAAACTCCTGGAGTATCTCAACGCGTGGGGTCGCACTTGCCGGCACGGATGGGTCGGCCCAGATGCCGGGACACCCTGACGGGCCTTGTACAAATACAGCAACAAGCAGTTGTGAGTGGTGGAGAATGAGCCGCAGCGCACCCTCAGCGAGGGAGGAGCGGGAAGGGCGTCTGCAGCTGAATGAAGAGCATCGATGAGGACCTCAGCGAGCAGGGCCAACAGGGCCGTGGGGGAGCAAGAGGATCCTCTCCCAAGGCCCAGGGCCCAGGGAGTCCGTTCACAGGCAACGTGGTGGTCTGGGGTCACGAAATCTACAAAAAGACAAATTGAAGATGGACAGCAAGGTGCCAGCCACACACACAAAATCAAATCTCGACATGCTAGCAATTGACACATAGAAGCAGGAATTTAAAAAAAGTTTAAAATATCATTTCTAATAGCAACCCTCTGCCTATGAAACACTTTGGTACAAGCCTAACCAAACACGTACAGAATTTTGGTGCCAAAGATGAGGTGCTAACGAAAGAAATCAGAGAAGACTTGAGGCCCTGGCCGGGTAGGTCAATTGGTTGGAGTGTCGTCCTGATGTGCCAGGGTTGCGGGTTTGATGCTCAGGTCAGGGAACATACCGGAATCAACCAGTGGATGCATCGATAAGTGGAACAAGTCGATGTTTCTCTCTCTCTCTCAAGTCAATAAATTAAATTTACAAAAGAACTAGTTCACTGGAGACCCAGTGCAGAAGACACCAATTCCGTCCAAACTGATGTTTACATCGAATGCAATTCCAGTAAAAAGCCCAGCCGGAGTTGTGACGATACAGAGAGGCAGATCCTAAAACTGATATGGAAAGGAAGACAAACGAACTGTAGTAACAGAGCATTTCTGAAACACGCGGAAAGAGAGATTTACAACACTCACGTCTTCTTACTGAGGCAAAGCTCTCACAACAGAGCAAGCCGAAGCGTGCCGCACAGAGTTCAAGGACAAGGTCTCTCTCAGAGGCCCGTCCTGCCCGGAACCGAGGTCCAGCTTCCTGGGTCTTCCTGGGTGTTGGGAGTCTTTCCTGGGGCAGGGAGGCTCCGGGCGTCCCCCACCCACCAGAGAACGAGGCTGCCTGGCTCCCGTTGTCTGCTCAGCACTCAGAGGCCGCCCGTGAGGTGTCCTGTTCTCCAGCAGGAGGGTCCCCTCCGTTGAGCAGTGCTGTGCCAGGAGGTGAGAACACCTCCCCCGGAGATGTCCCCCTTGAATCAGGCTTGGGGAGGCTGGCTGAGCACGGTGGCGCCCCCTCTGTCACTCAGAGCAGGGGCTCAGGAGGGCAGCTCTGCTTCTGGCCAGCCCCCAAGGGGGACCTGGATCCCGCTGGGGAAGGAGGGGCCGCGGAGGCTGCAGCTCCTGTGCTGTCTCCTCTGCTGCCCATCACAGGGCTGCCCCTTCTCTGCCTCCCAGCCTGCAGCGGGCAGAATAATGTAGGGGGCCCGGTCACTCCACCCTTGTGGCCATCAGACTCCCTCCCCGCAAGCAGGTGGGTGCTGGGCCTGTGCAGGGCAGAGTGTGGGCGCCTGCTGTACACGGGTGCCACGGGGCTCCTGGGGAGAGGGGGCTCTGGGGGGAGGAGCCTGTGGAGCTGCCTGCACCTTCACCATGGCAACGGCTCCCTCTTCCACTGCGCTGCAGGTACCAGGTGACCCCAGACAGCTCCTATGGCCCAAGTGCTTCTGGGAGGGGAGGTGGGGGCAGGCCTGGCTGCCCTCCCCTTCCTGAAGGGCTGCGGCCCCTTCTCTGGGCTCCCCTGCCAGACTCGGGCTGGCCTCGTGCCCTCCCAGACACAGGGTTTGTCGGGTAGAGTGTTCGGGGGGCTGGCTTGTCCAGTAACTCAGCCTGGCTCCCCATTTCACTCGGCTGTCTGGTGGGGCCCTTGGCTGGCCTGGGGGATCTGGCTGGCATGCATGTGGCTGAGCTATCCC